AGTGCCTGCGTGCCTCTACATTTGCATGCAAGAAATCACAGCATCCATGGTCGCCAATGGTAACTGTGTTTGCATTCTTGGTAGTACAAGAAATAAAGCCATAGATGCAGTAGTCATGTACTTAGTCGATGTAATCCTTCAGTGTACACTCATTTGTATAGCACCAATGATGCCATGAGTGTATAAGCTCTGGGAAGTGAATCTATCTGGATTATTTTATTTGGAAGGAAGAGGATCATCACTACTCCTAGTATATCTTAACAGTAGATTTTAGTGCTTGGGTATTATCCCACTGCCTGTCCGTCCTTCAACAGTCTACTTATCTACTGTGTAAGTGTAACTTTTTAAATGTATACTTTGCTCGGATAGGATTTTTTCATAATGTAATGCAAGTGACTTATCATCTATGCAGCTCTACTCAGACTAGAAATAAAAGTATTTACTTTTATATGTAGCTATAGCATGCATTCACTTGTGTTTTTGTAGGTGCCTGTACAATTGTTTAGCCCTCTACAAAAGTGCTGGTATACTCTAATATTGAATCTGGCATCTTAGAATAGTTTGTTAGTGGAAGTAAGATTGTGTTTACAACCAATATTACTATCCTCAGATGAACTGTGAAAACTCTGTGGAAATTTATTTACAGTTTTTGAACGTTGTGAAGGCAAATGTTATGTTCTTTTATTGTGGTCCCTGTTTCATGCAAATGACCAATAATTACTCGGCAGTGGCACAGTATTAGTTGTTATTTTACACATATGTACTGAGCAACATCGCAGTTGAGGCCAGCAGCAAGACATACATGCAGTGCACTGGAGCATCACCTCACATAGTGTACAGTCTTTGCGCACCAGTAAACTCAATATTTTTCAAGCAGACTAATAGACAGCTGTATGGGAACTGTGTTGGTGTGCAAACTTTGAAGTCTTCTTGAGGAGTGTTTTTCATCATGTTTGTCCAAGTGAAGTAGCTACCCAAGGCCACAACTGGTAGGAATGTGGTGGTTTCCTCTCTCCAAAAGCACTCCTACCAGCTGCCTCAATGTTAGCATGGGGTGAATTCACGAACTGGAAAAATAATTGGTCTCTGTTTTCTTGGCCGAAAGAGTCACTTCTACCGTTGAGCTACCACGACGCGCCAGAATAGAAACTTTTAGCTAAATAAAGTTGATTCTACTTTTGAGAAGTGTTTTGGGGAAACGAAATGGCACCTATAGCTGTCAATATAAACACTGTTTGCACCAAGGAGCTTAGTAGCTTATATTTGTATTATTCGTGTATTGTCTAGAATTTACTCGCGCTGTGCCAACTTTCAGCCCAAGTGTCCTAACATGCTTTGTTAGTGGCTTGTGAATGAGCCAAGCTATGTAAATAGAGTGATATTGCAGACATGTACAAAATATTGATGCACAGCCCTTTTCTTTAGCATGACATTGTCAAGGGCTTTATTCTTGTGTTTTTTATAAAGAGTGCTTGTCACTGGGCATTAGTGTAAAACTATGCATCAAGCTTTTGCGAGATGGTTCGAGAAACACCGTGTTCAGACATAACAGTGCCGGTGGAATTCTCTCGTAAGTTACTTTCTGTAGTATATTCAAAATGAGTTAATTAGAATTGTTGTTTTATAGCCATTCATTTTATTATTTACACCTAAGTGTGTGTATGTATGTAGGTATGGGTGTACATATGTATATGTGCGTGTGCGTATATGTATGTATGTATGTATGTATGTATGTATGTATGTATGTATGTATGTATGTATGTATGTATGTATGTATGTATGTATGTATGTATGGTATGTATGTATGTATGTATGTATCTTTTAAATGAGAATCCGCTTATCATTGGTGAGTAAGTTTGGTAATGATATGGCTGAATTTGTGTCTAGTTATTTCTCTTTTGAGCCATTACATTTTTGAATTTATTTTGTACTGCATAAAAATAAATATAACCTTACACAGAATATGTGTGTTCGAAGAAGTTGTTTTATTTACCAACCTACAGTCATGGGCAAGAAATTGGGTAAAATGGAACGGACCTGCGAATAGTTTAGAGCATAGCTACTCTACATGGCATATCTCGTACACATTGCGTTGGTTGAATATGTCAATTTCAACCTTTCAATTTTAATCAGAATAAGCAAGCTATCACCCGTGGTTGTATATGTGTGTGATATTTATGCATACTGTGATACCGGTTCGCAATTACAATTAAGGTCACAAACCTAGTCAAGCTGAATACGCGAATTTTGTCCATGCACCTTTCATCTGCACTGGAACTGTTGTTATTAAAAATAAACTTCAGTTTAGAAATTTATTCTAGTAACCAAAAGCAGGGTATCTCTTTATCACACAAATCGAATTGCCATTGTTCTGTTCCATTCTGGACAATAGGGGACCCTCTCAGCAGAACTCGATTAACTGCTATAGTTCATTTTAACCATTGACAGCGACATTACACTGAAGCGTGCAGCATGACAAATAGCGGGAGAGAAGACACAAACTAATCACTCTGTTCACGTCAGCGCTAACTGTCCGTGCTCTTTGGTCTTGCTGCATGTGATGATGCCCACCAAATTAGCATGAAAGCGTGTCCCTACAAAGGCAGTCAACTTGGCTGCAAGCAGTTAGCTCACTGCATGTGTAGATTTTCTTCAAAACACCGTGAAGACTGATTGCTGGTCGAATATTCAAACACGTGAAAAGTAATATACCAGGTATGATATTGATATTTCAGCACTGGACACTTTTGCGATAAGAGAGAATGGAGGAAAAAACTATGAACCCTGCATTGTTTAATTTTTGAAGGAGCACAGTACAGCGCTTTTGGGTCAAAAGGGGAGTGAAAGAAGCAAGTGCGAAAGCCTACTTCTCAAAAAATTAGTACCCACCACCACGCATAATGTCCGGCCGGGCAACCTCTTGAAAAAAAAAAAGCGCTCAGTGATTCTGCGAATCGAACCAAGTACCTCCTAGATTGCAGTGGAGCGCTGTAACCGCTCGTCCACTGCAGCAGTGCTTGCATTCGCCCTATTGCTGATATATCGTCATTCCTTCGAATGAAGCCAAATGCAAAAACGTCCGGTGAAACTTTGTCAAAAATAGAAAAAATAGTTAGATTGTGTTTGCCCAAGGTTACTAGGAGATAGAAACCGCCACGTGTGACTGTATAACCGTGCGCTATTTGTTCTTGTACATTACTGTCATGACGTTGGGATAGCCGGCTCTAACGTAGGCTACCTTCTCATAGTTTGCCAAATATAAATAAGAAAATAAAAATATATAACAGCCTGTGACAACGCTAATCAACTATTATAGTTCACTGTCACTAGTGTCACTTTCACTAGATGAATGCTCAGTTTGCTTCCATTATCGTTATTTAGGAAAGTTTTGGCTCAATAACTCAACTCTCCTAATTAGCAATGATTCTCACATCTGAGGACAGTCACACTTCATCTCGCTTTCTGAGTGGCTGTCACTCCCATATAACGCGTACTCCTCTTTTTTATGCTCTCCGAGCATCTGACGCTGCTTTGCGGAGACTTTCCCTGACGTCTGCTGGGCCGGAAAATTGTCTTTATTATCTATCAATTTCAAGCTTTCGTGAAGCCGAAACGAGAGTCTCTCTCTCTCTCTCTCTTCATTCTTTTCGCACGTGTGATAACGTCTCTCGACCTCAAGACTCGTATACACGTCCCTTGCTTTGTTTGCGCACTCAAACAACGCTGGACGAAATATTTGCACCGTGTTTTGTGAAAAGCATTAGCACTGAGACACCTCCCGACGAGTCTCCCTCATTTTACGTAGACATATACCTAAGCGTAAGCGTATGCACGTTCTTGCATTCCGGCTTTATAAAAATGCCGCGCTGCATGGAACCAGCGAAATTGCGCTCACAATTTCATTTGATTACTGCTGTTATCTATTTTAGCACAATTCGTCTGCAGGCACCAAAGTCGCTCATGTGTCTTGTAATAAGAATATTGTAACAAAGGCTACCTTTGACTATAGGTACAAAACACCCTTACGTTCACCACTATACCGTGCTAGATTGCACGGAATTAGTTGAGTAGCAGCGCAGCTTCAATGAAATGTAAGGTAAGTGGTCGCTTTAAATAAGGGAAGACATTCAAGGCACATTTTCAAACATTGCATGCATCGATTTATGTGTGGTTTCATTTATGTGGTGCACCTGGAGTGTTGTTTACTTGTACTTGGCGAGTTAGTGCATGGATTGCTCGGTGGCTTGAGGCCATCAAGCAATTATTTTTTTAGCTACAGTCGTTGATTAAAGGCGAGTGCTTGGCTTTGCACCGCCCACCAAAACGTCTATTACAACGTACGCGGCATCCCGTAAGCGCTGTAGCAGACGCTCGCGGAACTGAAACTTAGATGCAGCAAATCATTGGCTATCATCGTATACTCTCGATGCTAGACGCTTTGCGTGCTACCTTGATATTATCGGCACACACTTCTTTCTTTCCTTGTCGTTTCATCGGCTATCGTCGGTCCTCCTTGCCCTCTTAAGTGCCGAATAAGTTAAATTCATACCCGCGCTATAGTAATCCCTCCAGATAAGAGAATGTTTGGCTAAGAAAATGCGTAGCCAAAGAGAAAGCTTTGTGAATTCGGGCTCTCGTTTTCAGTCACATAGAGATAATTCAGAGTTTATATATAAACGCTATCAGCCCACTTTAGGGCCACTCTGAGCAGAATATAACACGTTGTAACCTGTCTCAGTCCAACATGGACTGCTTATGATAACGTATATGTGTGCTTAAAAAGAATTCGTAAAACATTGTTATTCGAAGTCGTCCGCAAGATGGCATGTATGTATCAGTATTAATCACGTTTTAGACTATTGAATACGTATTTCTTGCCCATTTATAACCACCATGCTGATGTACAGCTCGAAATATAGTTTCTCGATTACCTTTATTTGGAACCGCACAATCGAGAGCTCATTCGATGTGACCACTATTGGAGCGAGCGTTTCACTCACCCGGCTGGTATCCTGTTCACTTCTACATTTGGCGAGAAAGCATCGTCCACGTTGACAAAGATTGGCTCGTCCTTGTTGTACCAGAATGTCATGTTCCGGTTCATGTTGCTGATGGAGGTAGACAAGAAGAAGATGGGAAAGGAGGGGTACGAACAATCGATATGGTACCATACAGATGTGAAAACATTTATATTCAGTAATGCTTTCGTATATCGCGAGCTTTAGTCACTTTCATTAGGACAAAATGAGAGAATTATGCACGCGCTCCATTGAAGAACTAAAGTGAGTGATTGGCATTTGCGTAAATAGCGACCTATTAGAAAACCATTCACTTCTGCTCGGGCCCTGAATGGCACACACTATTTTAAAATAAAAATAAATAAAATAAGTTATCCAATAAATAAATCAACAAATATTAAAGCTTGTAGAATTTCGAGCACTAGTTTAACACTGTGTCTTTAGTCTATTAAACATCCGCGGTGGTGCTTTAGCGGCTAAGGCACTCGGCTGCTGACCCATAGGTCACGGGAATCGAATTCCGGTCACGGCTGTTGCAGTTTCTATGGAGGCGAGAATGCTTAAGGCCCGTGCGCTTAGATCTATGTGCACGTCAAAAAACTACAGGTGGTCGAAACTTCCGGAGCTCTCCTCTGCAGCGTTTTTCATAATCATATGGGAGTTTTGGAATGTGGAACCCCAGCAATTATTATTAAGCAAGACGCGCCATTTTTCTAATGTAGTCTAATTTTTTATCTGGCTTTATCCTGAATTGTTTACGCCAAGAGAAATCACGTATACGCTCAAAGCACGCTAGTGTGACTATAGGTAAACACTGTATGTACATTAGATTGCTTGCGTCGACAACTGTCCTTCGTGTTCGGTATTTTGAGTGTCATTTTTTTTACTCTGTCTCTTTTCGTAAGTGGCAATCAGGCACTCTCGATCTTTCCAACTCCACATGTACGACGCACGGATGTGCTACCTTGTGTGGTGAAAGCGCGTAGTCATATTTGCAAAATTGTTTCAGCGCACGAACAATGGGAAAAGTATAGGGTAGACAGAAAGAGCGCTGTTGCAGCGCTCTTTCTGTCTACCCTGTCCTTTTTTCATTGTTCGCGCGCTGAAACAATCTTGCAAATATGAGTACGCACCAACTAGCCCAAGCTTCCACTCTTGAAAGCGCGTAGTTCGTTGATGCACGCAAGTTGTGGAACGATACAACAATAAGAATTTTAAAAAGGTAACTTAGCCTAAATCTTTGCCTATCACTCTATTGAAAAGGCCGAGTTTAGGATACACTCCCGACAATGATTTCATACATACAGTGATGGATAACTGGCAGAGTGCTTCTCTTAAAGTGATAGTTTTCAGGCGCGCCTAATCCAGTATTTATCCAGCATTTCAGATCAGGTGGAACATGTAACTATGCCGCAAATTTCACACATGAATGGATCCCTAATCTAGAGTTTGTTTTTATATTCTTAACGTAGTGTACTTTGAAAAGTATTACGTAAAGAGTGTTTGTTCTCACTGAGAGAAAACAACGAGAAATAAAGGGTTCCTTACACGCAGAAAGGTTGGTAACCCTCCTGCAAGCCGCAAGTGGTGAAAAACCGGAGGAGGTTCACATCGTGACCGAACACCAGCTTTGCTTTCTGACCTATGCCAAATGTGCACGCTGGTACGTAGGATGCTGCGGGGAAAAACATGTCGTTCATTTTTTGATCATCACAGCTTGTCATTTATGGTAATCATCGATACCCGTAAGTTCAAGATCATCATTAAAGCTTACAGTGCACAGTGGGGAGCAAAGGAACACCAACACTCAATTGTGCATTCTTGCTTCGTCCTATTTTGTGTGCGCTGTAGCTCTTCATGATACAGCATCAACTAGCCCAACAAGTTATCCTCGCTTAGGGTTCGGGCGTCACAGCATGTTTGGCGCCAGTGTTTCAAAGGCTGAGGGCACTCAAGCTGCAAGGACTAAAATAAACTAACACAGCTGACAAACTGCTTGATCATGTCGGTTCATTCCTAACCTTCATACTTCTCGTTTTAGAGTTGTTAGACTTTGACGTGTTTCATCAGCTTGCCTGAAAAATTCCTCTTTCAGCATGTAATTCGTTGGAAGGATAACATTCTTTAGCGATTAAACATTAGCCGTGTTGATATGCCACCACTAAAACTTCCTTACGAAATTAAAAAGGCAGCTGAATCCTACAAACTTCATAAATGTCCCGCTGGCATAAGACGTAAAACATGAATGAGATGGTAAATAGGCTGACATCAACTAATGGTGAAACAATGTTCAATGTTACCAAGTGAAATATTGACGCGCTTGCAAAAGTTCTGAGGTAGCGTGAAGTATATACACACATCTACAAAACCCATCGCTACTGGGGCGTTCCTTACCACTTGTACATATACACACAAAACTTGCGTATAAAAGATAAACGCGAGGATGTCACCCACCTCCTTCTCCACAAGGAATTTCCGAGAAGGCAGCTTCCCCGCCTAGCTGGTCGAGCAATAATTCTCCATTCAACGAGAAGCCTGCGTAGAAATTTCACGCGCCCGTAACTGCATGACGCACTACACCAAAATAACCAGCTGTAATCACATTAAAAGTACAACGTAATTAGCTCGTACGTGGCTGTAATTATCAGCACATATAAAACATACGAAGTTTTTATTGCACTGAAGGAATTGGTGCAGAAGTAAGCTTTAATTTGGATCTCTGGGAAGCATCGGTAGACATGTAACAGCATCATTTCTCACTTACTAATTGTGCGGTCATGGAGATCTAGCATACACCCTACGACGTCGCCAATCATCCATTGTTTTCCATAGGACTCCGTGCCCCCGGCATGAGATTTCACGGCCTGCGAACAGAAATTTTCAGCTGCAGGTACGTTCCTTCTTCTACGGCATTCGAATGAATGTACCATATTGAACTAGAAATTTTATAAATCGAGATGTTGAAGACACATGTACTCTTGCATTTAATCACTCGAAGGCGAATACTGTAGTGGAATTCAGATGCAATAATTAACCTGATGACACACAGACACCAACGACACGTACGAAAATATAATCAGTGAATATACTGAAGTTCTTAAGCCAAATTAGATTACAATTTTGCACGCACAATAGAGAGCATTTTAGTTTAAATCTACACGAATAATATATATGCCAGGTATATTGATCAAAAAATGTTTAAAAAACAATGTACCTGGAATGTATTGAAAACGCAAATTTTTGAAAGCTGTCAACCTTTTTCTTTGTGGATTTCTCCAACAATTATTTACAGATATTTGAGGTACATATTGTAGCTCATATTTTCATTGTTTATCTAAATTTAGTGAGCAATTGCCAACATTGAGCATTGTCAAGCGCGACTAATAGGAGGCAAGTAAATGCGATAACTGAGGTAGCCTTTGGCGGCACCTCATCGCTCAGCTCACAAAAGTAACGTGAAGTGAAGGGACGCGTACAGCTATTGAGTTATCACCTATAACAAGGTCCCCTGGATAAACTCATTCGTTTCTCAATAGTTACTAATAGTATATTGTAGCGATGTTTCATGCATCATTTCTTTGCCATCCGCTAAATGCATTTTACAGTACAATCAAAACGAACAGAAAATGATGTTCGATGCATAGGCCAAGCCAGCCACGGTTCTTGCGAAACTCACCAGGAAGCCATCGTAAGCCCAGGAGTTGTGGTCACCGCCAAGCTCGCATGATGGCAGAAAGCTGCTGGCGTTTGCCCATCCAACCTTCATGGGACCCAGTGTCATCACTTCGAACTCGAAGTACCTGGAAGTGAAGACGCTACCTTGTAAGGTGATTAAACAACCAGCTACTTTGCTATATAAAGTGCAACCCGCCAAGGTCAGATGAAACGTCGCAGTATGGTAATACAAGGGCATGTTCGTGAACTTATGAATTTGAGATTAAATTGTGCATTTGCGTTACGAAGGTGTGGATGTACTTGTTGTCGCAAAACGAAACCGTGACGACTGTGAAAAAGTCTGAATGCTTAGGGCATGCACGTCTGTATAGCAACATGGAAGTCTGCATTAGAGCGCGATAACGCGACTAATAAGCGCTACCGGTCCTCCTTCGGTCACATGGGAGCCGGCCAACATGTGCAATTGATGCAACCGGGAAACACTGTGTCATCCATGTTTATGTGCAGCATTCGGACGGCCTAGTTAGCATTTGACAGACAATACAAACTGCCACAAAGGAAGAATACCATATACTGTTCTTCCTAAAACCTGTTTTAAAAATGAAGTTGTCAAATTTTTTTCTATTCTGTTACGCATGCAGGCTCAAAGTAACATAATGCTACTGTAATATATTTTTTTTATCTGGCTCAGACTAAGTGACTATAAACAACATTACTCACCATTTTCCTTCAGACACGGAGTACGTTACTTCAGCACGGTAGGTTCGTTGGTCGTATTTCACCGATGCTACTTTACTTTGCACACCTGTCAGAAGGAAAAAAGGAAACAATTCAAGAAGAATATCAATTAACTGTAAGTGGGCAAATGCCGAATTCCATTCGGGCAATAATAAAAGTGGTTGAGTAGCGTAGTTTACTTTGAAAATTAGATATAACCTAAATAAACTGATTGATTGATTGAAAGGAGATTACACATTGAGTACATACCGTATAAGCACCGGGGTTACAGTATAGATACTAGCACTAGCTTTAGATATGTAGAGTAGTTCAATATTGCAACACCCCAGAATGAGATAAACTACAGTTTATGTAAAGATTGGTCCAGCCCAGGTAGCAGCTAGAATAACTTTGTACAGGTGGACAAGTTCACCTGACATAAAATGACATTTGAGATGAAAAAAAAAAGATAACCTGACGCTATATTACCTTCGAGGCTTTCGGCGGTGGGAGGCTCAAGAACATAGCCGTATGCTAGAAGAGTCCGAACCAGTTCTCCAGCTGTATCCCTGCGAATGAGCGGTGCGAAAAATAGCACTTCAAATACTGCTCCTTACTTACCATCAGTACATTATCTGGTAATGCTGCTTTTCGATGTTAGGCCTGTGTGCTCAGATTTGGGTGCACATTAAAGAACCCCAGGTGCTCGAAATTTCCGGAGCTCTCCACTACGGCGTCTCTCATAGTCATAGGGTGGTTTTGGGACGTTAAACCTCACATATCAATCAATGCTTTTCGATATTGATTATTTCATGTGATACATGAATTGGATTTATGCTTGGATTTCTATGGAGTATGCGCACATATTTTTGTGTATAAATGTATACCTCAGCAGATGCACTAAGACGCAGTTATATACAGCATCATGTGGATGAAGGGGCACAAATACATACCTGACATGAATTTACTTAATTTAAATGAAAGTTTTATTTTGGAATAAAAATAAATGGCTCACCAGGTCCGTACCCCATCCGCCATCTCCATTTGTTTAATTTTTGCTTCATGCCCCTGTCCAGATCCAACATCAGATCAAAGTGGTACCCCCCCCCCCTTCCACCGAAAAAGAGTTCTGCCTACCTCCCTCCTTTTACGCGCACAAAACTAAACGAAAACCCTGTATGGCGAATAATAATCAAAGGTCACACGCTATGGTAGGTGCATTCACACAGTGTCACTCATACCAATAATTGCTAAGAATAAACAGGAATCGTAGTACTCATAAGAGTCAGACTGCTGTCTTCTTTTATGACAGACCATCTGATAATAATTACCTGTTCGCTTTCTTGATGACGTCATCGACACTCTTGTAAGGCACTAAATGTGGACTTCTTCTGGTTGGCTGGTTCTGAAAAGAAAAAAAGTAAAAATGAATAAAATGGAGCAAACCCTGCCTTTAGTGGATGTACTGCTGTGTTACAGACCAATTATTTTATTGAATACTAAAGCGAGGATAAGTGTAGTTATCGTACGTCAAAGATTGAGCTACAATCCTAGTCAGAGCGGTCGCATAAAAAAGGGCTGCTCGCAAATCTTCGTTAAAAAGATCTTCTGTAAACTGAAAGATATAAAGCAGATGGCGTTGTGCATATTTTAGGTTCTTCATGATAGTAGAGCCATTTTATTACAATCTTCTATAAACATTTCTTCACTTACTAACCCTATAGAATGACAGTGACGCGCACTACAAATGCAAGCGAGTAATAATTGAAAAATATATACAAAAACATCAGACCCACACCAATGTAAAATAGTTCATCGCAAATTAGGAGTCTGTTTGAGAGGCACCTATAAAATTAAATATATATGCAGCCTCGAAATAAAGATGTTGGCTAATTAAAATGCCGATTGAAGTTATAAATATAATTTTTGCTGTAGAACAATGCAAACTATGTGATATATAATCAACAAAAGTACGGTTGTTCATAAGGCAGATTTTTTCACAATAATATATTTGCTTTCCTTAGTTGTGCGTTGAACTGAGCGTATACTGTTGCTGGAGACGGAGCCTGAAATTGTAGTCTACAAAACTTTAGCTGACGCTTTCTTGGAACAAAGTGTAACTGCGATACAATAGACGTTGTCAGCCAAAACACGTTGTTGGGCTAGTTGGTTCGCATTCATGGAGTGCGAGTAAGCACGAACAGGCAAGGACGTAGAAGAGTACTGACACGGACAGAGAGCTATTCAACTGATCTTTTATTTTCGCACGAATCAATAAATGCATTCCGAGTGAGCGGAAAAAACATGAACATCTTAAAGCGCTCTGCCCATGTCAGTCCTCTTCTACGTCTTCGTCGGCTTACGCTTACTCACACTTCATAGACGTTGTAAGCTCTTAATTCCACTAATAAACTTTCACTTAACTGACACCATAGGTTAGGAAAGATTAGCGGTATGTGCTAGCTGGTAGTACACTTGAAGCGCATGCCAGTGAACGGAACACCAGCTGAATCACACGTATAATTTCTGCATAGTCATCGCCCTCATTTTTTTTCTTTTCTCAATGGTTAGAAATAGTTAAATGCGATTGATGTGCTTTACTTTATTAAAAGACCTGAAAGAACAAACTGACACTTCAGTCTTTGTTTCTACAAAGTGCGAGACGTTGGCTTCAGTCAGGCTTCTTTTTTTCTGCGATTTCTTTTCACTCCACCATCCTATAAACTCTGTTTTGCCTGGACAAAGTTTTCAGTGATGAGGCATTCAAGGTATTCAATAAATTTACTGGAGATGTCTTAATAGGACCTTTACACAACATATTGTAAAACATATTGTAATAAGGCCCATTAACACGAGCGACTTGCAGAGGTCACGTGGTCATTTGCAAGGGGTGACCAAAAGGGGACTCATGGAAGCTGAGCGCAGATCTGCGGGCGAGTTATACGCCACGCTAATTAGAACCTAAGCCTTTTCGCGTGTGGCTCGCAATGTTCTGCCTCGTAGGTAAGCTGATTGTTCCTGTGCATGTGATTGGTTCAGAGGTTTGCGACTGCAGTCTCGCGACTGAAAAATTCAGCACTAAGCGACTACGACGGAGCAGTCACTTTGCAAACAAAGCGGCCTTTTTCGACCATTTGGGACCGGTCGCTCCGAGATTAACTTATTCTCCCGACCAATGCTAGTCGCCGGTGCGACCAAGTTTTCACGCTTACCTCAACGAGGCCATATGTCCAGCCCTGCTGGATGCGCTCCTGAGCCCAGACATTGTGCGTGTTTTCAGATAACAGGTCCACCAGCTCTTCCATTTTGGCCGTCAGCGTGATCGCGCCCAGGTCCAACGGAGCCGGTTTGTAGCCGTTCGACTGGAGGTAGGGGCTGTGAGATGTGGGAACCGAAAGCACACATTAGCACAGAACGTTTAGTGTAGCAAGGTACAGTGGTGGGCCAGTTAGAATCTATGAATGCTTGGAAAATTGGCACAACTATGACGAAGACACATGATGATAAGCGCTCGTACTCTCTCCTTCTTGTCTTTCATTCTCACCGGGTTTGCTCTGAATTTACAAGTATTCATGGTAGAGCACGCTTTATTGCTGACCTAGTAGAAATCATGACCCATATAGCTGCGTTGTGCACGGTCGTCTCTTTTTTTTAAGTCGGCGTTTGCCGAAAAGCATTTCAAGGACCACCTAAGCATTGTGCGGGCATGGTACCGTTACCAATGCCACCAATTTCTCTTGTGTAATAGGAGGCATGTGCCGCTTGAAGTGCGAAATGGTAGTTCAACAGTGAAGCAGCATGTTATTTTGCATAGGCCAAAGGAGGATGGAGCACTAGAAGACCCAAGCAGCATAGTGACGTGGTACGACATGATTAACTTTATTGTGATGCTGTGGATCAGTACGGGACTTATGCTGGCCGCTTCCACGTCGGGATACGGAGGCCAAATCGCTCTGCATTCACATGGGCCTTCTCGACAGCCCTGAGTCTGCTGACAGGTCACTGTGCTGCATCCGCTGCTACTACTGTCCACCATGAGAAGCATTACCGGCCCACACCGAGCAACGCAAGAGCATATGGTCTAAATCAAGCAAACCTTTATGCTTACTACAATCTGCCGGAACCCCACAGCCCGGATATATGCCTCGAGGACATACCATGGCACCACCCACGTGTTGACGTCACTCATGGGATTCCGGGTTGTGTTGTCTGCTAGAACACCGAATTTCCTGCCATTTTGCTGGGTTCACCGTGCATGCTTCCTTTTTTGTTTTGAAGCTCAGTGCTTAAAGAAGCGGTAAGACCTGATAATAAGAGCAAGCAAACTATAAATTGGTGCCCTCGGTGGCACTCTCGTGTCTAATTGGCATCGTAAAATTGTGACTTCGAACCACTGCAGCCATGCGAGACGATGCAAGTGGTGTCGCGCAAGCTGCTGTATTCCACAACTATTACGCAGCAAGCGCGTCCTATCTGCGACGTCAAAACTATCGAAGTGCTGCCCTCTCTAGTTGAGGCCCTCGCGACCAACATCTTATTCAGGGGTGTCTTCAATGTTCTCAGCAGGCTCGTTTCATAGCAGAAATTGTAACGTTTAGCTCATTGCAATGCACTTCCGTTGAATTTGGGTGATTTTTTGCGTATGGCGTGGATTCCAATTTGTTAGAGTTTTGAACAGAAGAAGAGTAATATTGCATGACAAAAAGGTGATATAGTGTGGTACATAACACGATTACTACGGCCGTGGAAATGAAAATAATCAAATATGAACTTTATCACATGCCAGCCCAATAATTAGGTGACGCATTTACCCTAAGTTGTTTTAAGGGCAAAACGAAGCCACGTAAAACTATACTTTTCTTCACCGTTGTGCCTGTATGCGCAATTTTACACGGGACGGCTCTCAGCTCTCCCATAGTAGAGTACTAAGTACTCTAAATCGTCAACCACTTTTTCTAAACACACATACATCAAGTACCCATATTGCCATGGGACGGCTTTACGCTCTCCAATAGTAGAGTAACTAGTACTCTATATCGTTACCCCCTTTTTTTAAACACATCAATTGTAACGCAAACAGGATGGCTTTACACTCTCCCTTAGTAGAGTACTAAGTACTCTAAACCTAAACACAGTTGGATTGAGCCGTATCGTTTCCTGGTTCTTGAAAGTGGGACAGACTATTATTTCTCATAATAGAGTGTCTAATACTCCTAAGCGTCGAACATTCATATAAATGCCTTGACATTGACAGGGTTGGCTGAAGTTGTTACTTTGGTGCGTGTTACGCCACATCGATACGTGGTGCTATGATTCGTCGCATTTATTTTGTACGCATTTATTAGTAGTGTCGATTAAGTTAACACTGGTAACTGGGGTTACACATCAACGTTATAGCACCCATCCAGAAGCGACCACTTCCTTCGATTCGAAGCAGCTTTTGCAACCCGCCCACTGCGCTGACAGCAATAAATAAATGGCAGAATCGTTCATCGATCTGTTTCACCTTTCTCGGCGGATAAAGCATCTGGTACGTTTTGTCGTTTATGAGGGCTACGCTGCTTGCTTAGCCGCACATTCCAAGTTTTACGGGCCAAGGCAGTGCTCGGGCTGTGTCCCCAGACCAAAATCACTGCATCCCCAATGATCGGAAGCGCATCGTACCGCGCACGTCAGATACTCCTTCAGTCGAAACAAAAAAAGAGCAAAAAAAGCGTTCCAGTGGGAGACGCGAAGGAACACGTCCTCGGAGAGGCGCGCACTCGAGAGCTGCGAAAAACGTCGGAGAGAAACGGCGACTAACTGTGTTCCCTGTGTAATCAGTTGAGCATTTGAGTTTAAGGACGGTTTTGCTTAAATTTAAATTACACCTGTTTTTATTATTCACCACCTAGTCATCAATCTCACATGAGCGTACCCCACACAAGCGTCATTTATTGAGTCTCCAAAGCGTTACACCTCCAAGTTATTAATTTTTTTTTTTTTTTGAAAGAGGCGAAGCTGGTGGCCTGGTGTAGCTGCTTCTTTCAGTTTTACTGTATTTTTTTAGGTTAACAAACCTGCCGTATTACTTGAGATGAACGTGTAGAGACGATTTTGTCCTCGGACGTTGTGAAGATGATGTGCCGACTACTCGGCGCGGATTGATGCGTGTGAAAGGGCTGATCATCCTTCCTATCGACTGAGGAGCCGAGTAGCCAAAAAAGCTCAAATGAGATTCAGAAACATAGTATAGGATTGCAGCAAGGAATGTGGACAGTTCGAGGTGAACAATTTCATTGCTTCTCATTTGTCAAAACGCCCCTCAACAAATACACAATGAGACGAGATATGGCAATTAATTTGATATGCTGATAGCCGTTGTTATTACCCAGAGGCCTAAGATTTTATCACATAAATGGCAGTGGTTACGAAAACTCACACGGCGCCATATGCATTCACTTAAGATGGCTCAAAGCAAAAGGCTTCTTTTTCGTGGCACCCGATGTACTAATCCGCCACCCTTCGAAAGCTTTATGCACCTAACGTGCTTTTTCTTTCATTGCCTTCAAGATGGCAGGTGCCTCACGTTTTGAACTGGCTTTATTTTTTTCTGTTTATAAGAAAAAGGAAGTAGAAGCTGAAGGTCATGTGGCCTGACAGATGCTTCTGCTCCTACGCAGCTTTGCATTGCCTCCGTCATCTGACCACCTTTCACCAAGCTACAGTGAGAAGCGATGACATCATCTTGTGGCATCGCGGGGATGTCACGCTGAAATCGTATTGGCATCACCAATATTGGTGATCTGTGGTGTCATCGTAATGACGTATGATGGGGTAATAGAAAATCCTTTTCGTTACTTGTCGAGGAGGGGCACCCGCAGTCAAACTTTGCATTTGATGTGGCGTCTGAGGCGTTCATTCTAGAAAGGTAGTGAAATTTAGCGATAAATGGGAGGTAAATACATTAGCGTTAAATCAAGGGTTATGGCAGGTGTGGGTGGGGAGGAAGTGATCGCTTTTTCGTAGGTACGCAAAATATTTCCCGTTCGCGATTTCAAACCCCCAAACACAGATAACCAGAGCACGCGCAGTCGCTAGGATGGTTCCCAACTTTGAACGAATTATCTGTAGTTGGCGTCATTATGTTTAATGCAATAAAATCCCCAAACGCACAAAAGCAAGTTCAAGTGCAATTCTGACTCCTTCTAGATGATTGCGAATTTTTCTAATCATGGTGATATCTAACGTGACGCCAGGGAGGCGTTTAACTGAAATACTTTGTTAAACCTGGTTCGTTTATTGGACATGCTCGAAGATGCCATTTATGCCACCCTTACGCATAATTTATGCATAAAGAAAGTAGGCTTGCACTGAAAAGCTTCATCTTTCCTTTTTAGGGGCGAAGCTTCTTAAGATGTGGGTCTGTCCATTCTCCCATAGTGCATGTAGCCACCGGTGGCACATACCAGAAAGAGCAGTCCTTAGAATTTCCGCTGGATGAAGGCACTTGTATGTGATGAATGAATACATGATGAAAAGACGTGAGACGTCTGTACTTGGAGTGTTCACTAGATAGATGGACGGACTATAGATAGACATACAAATAGACGGACTGATTGACGGACTCGCAGACAGACAGAGGGGCAGACGCATGAACGGACGGATGCATGGACAGACAGACATAGGGATGGCCACGCGAACAGACGCACGGACGGACAGATGAACAGACTGAAGAACGTACGTACGGATGAACGCATGGAGGGACGGATGCACAGACGGTCTCGCACAGATGGACGGGCACACGGACGGACGCATGGGCGGACAAAAACACGGATGGACTGATGAACGCTTCACCCCGCCAATCATTATTCACTCCGTGGATATGCTGATTTTTCTTTCTTTTCTTTTTTTTTTTTTTTGGGGGGGGGGGGGGGGGGGTCGGCCAGCATTCGCTAGCAATAAAACTACAAAGCACTCTCCCAAGAACCGGCAAAGACAGATGATCTCTGCTTGCTCTGACAAGCTCCGCCTACACTTATTCTGCTGTTGGTTTTCTTTTATTTGTAGCGACATTGCGTGGTCTTTATTTAATGAAGAAGTTTTGTCGCGTCTTTTGGTCAAATAAAACCACCGCATGGTGTTACAAACGTGGTTCAAAGTATTATATGTGACGTAGGCATGGAAGCGCATACTACTCTATCCAACAGCGAGACACACCAGCAATCAGAAGACTACAAATTTTGATCGTTTTTTAGCCACAGCACATTTGGTATTTTATCAACTTGACGCCATTGTTGACTGTCTACATTGCACAAATCAAGTGAGAGACCCTCTTTGGAAAAACAAGCCTGCGATGGAAAGATACTACCTAGAAAACAAAGTTTCAAGATTCAGAAACTTCTTTTTTTTTTAATTTCGGTGCTTCATTTTTTGAAGATATCTATGGGCGTATTTACGCTTGCTTAGCTGTCGCCCAACACTCACTCATTGGGAAGTTTGACAGTCTTGATGCGTGCAGGCGGCTTGTCCACCGTGATGTGGTATCCCAAGGCAAGAATCGTCCTGTAACAGTGAGCAACGTACGTGTCAAGAACTAAGTTTAGGACCCTTAGGGTAAACGTTTACAGTTTTATCATACATACAGCAATGCTGAACATCTACAAAATACAATGTTATCACCGAAAATATGCACATAAATCCTTCCCTTCAAAATGAAGGCCGTGTGCTAGTTACCCGTCCACATTGCAGGCTATTGTGCCAATAGAAACACTGCGATCGCTGCCCGAGCATTCATTATATGGATCGCAAAATTGCATGCATGTGCAATACCGCTTAATGTAGTATCTAATGAAATGGAATACATTTATTATTGTACTGCATGAAGCGCCATTGCGCCTAGGGCTCTCGCTTCGGGATTGAAAGCCTATCCTGACAGGCGCATCGCATGTTTCCTGGGCGGCTCATATCAGACCAGCTAGGCATGTAAAAGAAAATAGCAAGACAGGTGCATCTGCAAAATCATGGTACAATTGCGCACTGTTCGCGTCTGCGATATTGTTAATAGATCAGAAGACATCGGTCGCTCAATCACTCTATCGCGTTAATCCTCAAAGGGGTGTGGCAAAAACTTATACAGAGGCCTTTCTTGTTATATACTAGCTTCTACGTAGTAGAATTTGGCAGCGAATTCGATGCTGTACGTTTCACGTGTATATTCTTATTTGTTTTACGCATGGTAGGTTTAGGACCACTTGGTATATCAGCACTATGCATTTCTTTTATCAGATTGCAAGAATATGACGTATACATACTTGAGGGTTTGAAGCGCTAACGTCGTGTCGTACTTCTTTTCGGCCATTGGCAGGTGCTCGAAGGATGTCAGGCATGGGTGAAGCCTCCTGGCATCGTCTCTCACCTGCATGGATCGATCATCCGCAGGCAAGTTTACACTAACAGTTTTACATATGCGGCTCATTCTTTCTAGAGAAACATTATTCATGACTAAAGCAAGTTTTCTCGCACGTTTTCTTTGAATCGCGTATACAGCACAAAGGGGGATGTGTTCTGCGCTCGTCATAGTTGCAAGTATTCCAAAGGGTAACAACAAGGTCCATGCTCTCACTGCAAGCTTCAAAAATTTGATTTTGAAAGTTGACAAGTGGACCAGAATCTCATCTTAGGAATTTAGTTGAAAGTGAGCAGCTGGAAATCACACTAACGAAACTATAAGTGCACTTCACATGTGATCAAGCCTTGAAATGAAAGCATGAATATCGGAGCGCCCATTTCAGTTTACACTAAGGGACCTTCTTTGGTATACACTCTTATATTTTTCATTGTGTTGTGAAAGAGTATAATTTCATTTTATTTGAAAGTTTTAAATTACTGCACAACATTCCCGTTACATTAAGCCGAATTTTCAGCAAGCTTTGTGACACAAATACTGCATCATTTACTTCAAGCGACGTTTAGAGTTCAATTATGTGACCATTCACTTACGTCTCCATATCTCCACCCGCTGTCAATCTTGTTCATCGACCACACTTCGTGGACATTTTCGGCGAGTTTGTCTCGGACGGATTCGATGTAGTTAGGAAGGGTAATCTAAAGAACAAAAAATGTCCCATGAAGCACACGCAGATGATAGGAGCAAAGGTAACTCAGTTGAATACACAGATGTCAACGCAATCAAAAGCAAGAATAATGTTTAAATTACGTAGGAATGTACTAGTGTCGGATATTGCTGCTCCGTATGTTGTTATCTCGAGATTGCAACAGCGTCACGTATGAGCGAGACGTGCTCACCAAATGGTGACATAAACAGCACATAAACCTCTTTCAATGATATCTTGTTTCCTTTCCTTATTGTCCAAACGAATACATTTCCTGCAAACATCCTAATTTCGCCACGCCATCCAACTCGCTGCCGTACTCCCCTCGTTATTCACGTTTTGGTATTCATTCACCGGTGTTGTTGTAAATGAACGCTGTTTCTTTTTCCCAATGCATTGCATCCCTGTCAGACGTTCTCTTTTTTTTTTCATTTAGCATCAGGTGCACGTTAAAGAAGCCCGGGTGGTCGAAATTTTTGGAGCCCTCCACTACGGTGTCCCTCATAATCATATGGTGGTTTTGGGACGTTAAACCCCATATATCAATCAATTTATTTAACATCGTCTGAAACATCGGTTGCGATTCTTTTTTTCCACGAATCATTTTTCCGTCTTTCTATCCCTTAATGCGACCCCTATCGTTTTTTATATCATGAAAGGTACACCACTAACTCATGTATCAAAGTTTGCATTTGCGAGATTCAGAAAAGGGTTGCCCCCCCCCCCCCCCCCCTCACAAAAAAGAACAAAGTGAGGGAAGCCACAGAGGGCTGCACTCTGTCCTGAACGCTCATTTTTAGGATATAAATTATAAGCACAGACCTTGCTTATCATGCGAGGTCAATTTCAGAAAATGCTTTTTCATAGGTTAATAAATAAAAAAAACTGTAGTTGTCGTACATCAGTTATTTACACGATGTGTTTCAAAAGTGCAGAAGCGCGTACTGTTAGCAATGTTGCACATAAACGGGTTTTCTTTTATTCACAATCGCACGCCTTAATTTTCTTCTTTCTTTAAATAAGCGCCACTTGTCTGGTGCGGTTTCTGCTTAACAGTTCAGATTTCCTGCCAATAAGCTTCTAATGATAAGTGCAGTGCAGTGTGTCTTCTTTCTCTTTCTTTTTTCTTGTCTACGTGATCTGATTGATCACTTTTCGTTCAAAAATGAAGCAGCATTGCCAACATAACGTCTCGAAGAATAGTGACATCGCATTGCTATCTGATTGCTTGACTTCGCGTTGGAGTATAGTTTGCCACCGACTGCACTGCTTAACCATGGAGTCTTCATGACGTCAAGTCAGTAAAGCTGTGTTACATTTAAAAATTGCAATTTTTAGAGTGCCGGAGGTCAGCAGTGGGGCTCTGGCGCTTCCTGTGGCGCATACCCACTATAGGAGCTAGTTGTAACATGCCCACTATGCTTGCTCTAAACAGTTTCTTCATATTTAGGGAGATTTAGGTAATGAGGCTTGCTTTATTTCGGTGCCACGTACCCTCTAGGCTCGTTAGATTATTCGCTATAAGTCGACTGGAGGTGGGTAGTGGCGCATGCATAGTTTTTGTAGCAGATACCCCGTAGAAGATGCGTTTAGCTTCACTGTGATAAAATTCCCCCGGATGTAAGAAATGATTACGCACCAACTAGTCCAACTCTCCATTTGAAGAAAATGCCTTTTGATTAAAGTAGGCATATAATAACACTTTGGACAAAAACCCAAACCAGCGCGCTTACGTTGGACGTGTCTACGGGTGACGGCACGAAAACGGCGTCATCGGCGATAGGCGCAGGGCCAAAGAGGACTCCTTTTGGCACGTCACCGAACTGGAAGCACGGCTCGACGGTGAGCACCTGCTGCGGCAGCAAAGCCTCTACCAGGGCCGAGTGGCCATCAGGAGGGCCGTACCGTAGTTTTCCCTGGTCTCCGCCTAGCAGGAAACGACAACTGCGAACGAAGGTCGCATGTTTAAACGTGCAGGAATATTCTTACCGACATCCAAGCTGGTGATTACCCATTATAGACGTTATGCTTTATGCGTGATTTCTAGTTCTTTCGTAGAAATTGCATGCTCGCTTCTGTGTGTTCAAGAAAAGTTGTTTACAATTTAGAGTACTTTCATGCTCTACTATGGGACAGCATAATGCCGTACCGTGGACCCCACACTGAATAAGGCCGTGCCGACAAAAGCTACGTTGATTCGGGTGAAGTTCTCGAGCGGCAGAATGTATGGGGCGTAATGTTAACAACTGCGTTTAGAAAACGTTGTTAGCGATTTCGAGTACGAGGTACTCTACTATGGGAGAGGATATTGCTATCCCGTGGGCATCACACTATATACTACTTCAGAAAAAGTGGTTAACGTGCGTGTTTGGAAAAGGTTATTCTATCGTGGGACGCAACGAAGCTATGGAACGAGTGTCTATACAATAGGCACAATAACAAACAAATTGCTAAGCACAGCATATATGACACCTTTAAACAAATGTGTCTACGTCGGTAGGGTGTCCCTAACACATGTTACTAATGCCTACATGCACTACATATATACACCAATCACAATATGAACAATGTACATGATGGTATATGTACAAAATTTATAAGGCTTCGTGAAGAGTTTCACATATATATACATCAGGTATCAAGATCCGTGCAATTTACATAAAATACAGCGTTAGAATGAAGTGCATATGTGCAAAAAACTCACACTCACACGGGGCACACACAAACAAATAGAAATAGTAAACACATACAGATTACGTGCACTAATCAGACACTGACAGGTCACCTGGCTATAGGAACTAGGCCAGGTGGGAAACTAACCGAACACGTCTGTCAACTGCGGACAGAAAGCGGCACAATCATTGTCGTCGAAATTCTTCCTCCCCAAGGAAGAACAATTCCTCCGACAGATACGATAAAAGTTCAGAGTATAAGCGTTCCGAAATCTGAAATTGAGCATGACGACGACTTTCTGTGTTTAAAAAACATGTTTAATGATTTTGAGTACTTGGTGCGCAACTATGGGAGAGCAACAAGCCGTGCCGTTAAAAAGGTAACTGCTGGATTGCAATGCCGGCTGATGGAACCCAGAGTTTGGAAATATACGGTTGCTGCTTAGAAGGCGGTATGCCAAGCATTCCTTCTTATAATACTCATCTTTACGACCTTCAACAGTTGTATAGCTATTTTCATCAGCATTGTTCGTATTGTAGATCCGATATTCATTATATTTGATTTTTTTGAACTTCTGCTCTAAATCGTTTTGACTGAAGCGTTTGACCTTTATTTTAGATTTCGTAACATTTTATGTGAATAGAAAACACGTCTATGAATGACCTATGTGTCTTAAGCTTCATGCATACACAATGCCTAAAATGTTTACAATAAAACTCAAGGGGTCTCAGATGAATTAGACTATAGTCATTTACAACCTAAGACTAAATCTAAGCACCACCTACAACCGCAACACAGCCTCACCGAGAAAATTCGCGTAGGTGGTTCATCAAATCACAACTACTCATTTCTTTGACGCTACGTACCTTTTGTGTGTTCTAGATTGGTGGCTTCCTAATACAGACATGTTGGTACCACTGGTTTATGGTAAAAAAAACCGCTGACTTACTGCATGATTGCCGCAGTGATTTCGATATCATTCTTTGTCAAAACGTTGTGTTCCAATTAATGGTGACGCACTTATATAATTGTGCGTAGTATTTGTGTTAAGGGTGAAAAGGTATGTTTGCTTGCGACCTAAACCACGTAGCAAAACTCCCTCGCAGAGATGAATGGCAGGTGAGCTGCACTTTTGGGCGTTGGCGCTTCGTTTAAACTTAGGTTGTAACTAAATATTAGCTCCGAGAAAGAACACTGGCGTCGCCACGGTCACGGCGATGTGGCGTCACGGCAAGTATGCTTTCCCACGGGACGCGCCTTCTCTGCCACCGCGTGTCTCCTTTTCCTACGCCCGCCGCATACCTGCTCTTTAGCGCCACATTGGTGACTACACCTCAACCGCGTAACGCAAATCTCTTCTTCATCACTGAGCAATGGAGAAGCAGCACAGCATGGTGTATCAGTGGATACCAGGTCATTGCGCTATATATGGCAATGACCGCCCAGATGGGGCCGCTAGATCTGCACACGACGGTACCCAATGCACAGCCATCCCGTTTTCGAGAACCGATGCAGCTACAAGACTTCGATCGCTTGCACGTGATCTCACACTGGTACAGTGGAACTCGACAGAATTTGCAAACGTGCGCCTGCATAACTTGTATCCCGATCTTCTCTCAGGGATATCTCGAGCTGAGCAGAATTTTCTATGCCACCTGTAGCTTGGAGTGGCCTTCATGGACGCACACTTCTATCTCATAGGAATGGCCAGCTATTCTACGTGCACTTATTGCAGCTGCGATGAAACCGTCGCGCACCATTTATGTGAGTGCACCCACTTCTACGCGCCTACACAAGAACTGACTGCAGCTCTGGATAGACTGGATGATCGGCCTTTGTCGGAACAAAGGATTCTGGGTCATTGGCCGAGCACATCCTCAGCCCAGAAGGCTTTGAAAGCTTTACAACGCTTTTTGCGGACAACTGGCCTCAGAGACAGACTTTAGTGTCTTATACTCATTGATGTTGCCTTTAATTTGTCGCTATTTTTTTGTAATTTCTCTCTCTCTCTCAGTGCAACATTTCGTTTTATTATCTTTTATTCCCCTCACTCCTTTCCCCAGCACAGGGTAGCCAGCCGGTCTAAGAACTGGCTAACCTCCCTGTCCTTCCACTTAAACTTTTTTTTTCCTCCTCCTTCTCAAGCATAAATTTAAAGGGTTTATAACTAAAGATTTATCGAGGCTGTAAAAACGTTTTCATCATATAGCTTACGATAGGTAGACTCCCATCAAAACAGAAGATTTATAATAAAATTGTGGTTTTCGTCACGTGTTCTGAGAAATGGATGCGGAGATTATAAGCAGTGTGGTACTAATGTGATGTTGAAGCATACTGGGCCAAATTATCCATAGCGAAATTAGGACAGTGAAGCACAGTGAATACATTGCGCTTTACCGAGCAAGTTACGCCTGCATATGTGAACGATATGTGTAAAGGATTTGACAGAATTTGGCTTGGCCTAACTGGAGGCTTACGTTATTCTTACTGTCATGAGCATTCACTTGACGTAATCGAAAAATAAACAAAATAATATTGAAATATACACAATCATCTCGAAAACGTCAAGATATGCCTGATTGCTTGGATCTTGAGTACAGGTTACTTCACAGTGGTCACTGGGGTTTATGTATTCCTATGTTATAATTTGCGTGAAAAGCTGGGCTGATCTACCACTTCGTCATAAACAATAATCTTCATTTTATACGGAAGAACCGCTGATCGCAACGATTCCAACACAAACAACAGAAAGTTGAAATGAACTAACTCTTTCGATGACGCAGTCATCGACGTGGCCTAATTAACAGTTAAACAACTTTCGCCTGGAGGAGGCGACGACTGTCCCCGTACAGGTGATCAAATGCAAGGAAAAATAATTTATGATGTGGCTATATAAACCGGTATTGCTACTATTCTGCACGAAGCCGAAATCTGAGAGTAATGAGAATTTCCGCACATAACCTCCACAGCACTCAACCTGAGTAATTTGGGTGAAATAAAGATCTAAAATTATTACGAGACCAATATGAAACTTGATAACGTGTTGAGTGTGCAGGTACACGAGAAAAACACAAGAGTGGCGGTGGTTTTCTAGGGCGAACGCATTCGAGATATTTTGCGAGATTCGCATTAAGCACACGAACGCGGGGCTTGACAAATTAGAAAAAGCACTGTCCGAAGATAAGCGGACTGCTCCGATAAAAATATTTATAGAGGACGGAAACCCTCCGACCTTCCATAGGAAGGACCCATGAACAGCTCAACCTACTAATTGAAATGTTGTGTCTTGCATCTTAAAACGAAGTGAATACGCGCCAATTGGTTTGTTGTATCCTAGCAGATGTGTATTCTTGTTTTCCACACCCTTTATAATGCATCTGCTGCGGCCAGAAACAGAATATATCATCGGAAGACTAGATCAAACATTTGTGATAATAAGAGCAGCTTAACAAGCGAGACCCTCGCAACTTTTACCTCACTTTCGCCGAGAAGCTGATCGCCGGGTAGAACATGCCATCGGTGTTGAAGCTTCGGAAGCAGCCCTTCACTTTGATTCCGTTCACCGTGAAACTTATCACAGGCACGTTCAGATCGATGATGCATCCGATGACGTCACCCTTGCGAATGTAGGGCGGTGAAGACGACCTTACTACGTTGCAGCGACCCCCTGCGAAGCAAACAAAAGAAATACATGTTCACGACCCCAATTCCAGTACGATTTGTCATACTACAACAAAACAAGAACACACTAAACAGCTCGTATATGTAGGGAAAGTAGGGAAAGTGTCCAATTTTCATCTCGTAGTATACGTGTGTTTGTTACCTCCATGCGAACACAACAAGACATGAGCGCAGAATTGCTTCGCCTCTGGCTTTCCCACTCGCATGATATTGATTGAATCAAAGCTATTTGCGAATTTATTTGTCCCTGATATAAATTTAGCATTTTTATTAGAAAAGGGAAACTAGCGTTCACATTTACTGTTCTCCTGCTGTAGGTTCAGAAGAGCATTCGCACTCTTCAAAAGTACATATTAAAAGTTTTCATATGAGAGCTTTCATGCAAATATCCTGGCAACATTCAAGACTAGGGCCCGCTACCGTGGATTTATCGACCACAGTGACTGAACGAGCTACAGTTGTTCCCGCTTCCTTCTCGCACGTTCAACGCGCCTAATCTCCATCGGGTCTCAAGCTGCGGTTGTGTCAACGAGCTCATGTAAAGCGCCACCTCTCAGCTGACCTATGTGTCTTACTTGGGCAGCATGCCTGCAGCAGCCCCGATGTGCGTCTAACGAGGGCGTTGTGTGTGTGATCGTAACGCAATAAACAAAGTGGGCAACATCGAGAAGGCACTACACCGTGTAGCCTTATTGCATACAGAAATTAGGTGCCTTCTTCCTTCTTCAGGAACCACTACCATCACCACCACCACCAATCGAGCCGTTTCGAACGGCATGCGAAAGCGTGCGAACGTTGCAGCGCCACGCTGGTAGTACTGCGTAGTGCAGGCTGACTCATTGGTGTGCGGAACCAGCAATGCTGTTTCGTGAATGTTCTCTTTCTCAATATATACCACTGTGCAACACCTTGATTCCATGAGCACCGAGGAGAGGCGCTTCTTGCTCTGCAGGTCACGTGAGCCAAGTGCCCAATTTCAATCACTGCATGAGTACTGTATCTGATGGTTAAGCGTTCGCCGGGTTCCCTCTTAAAGCAAGGTCATTCGTAACTTGCCCCCATTAAGTGAAAGTATGCGGCAGAACTTGCACCCCTGCCCCTCTTGGTGACTGGGAGTGTTGACCGTCCCTCCCTTCCGCCTCTCCACCCTCCCACTTGTGCACGCCTATGCTGGTCACTCAAAGCTGAGTAGTCAATTAGCGAAGACTATTACAAGGAACGAATATTGTGGCACCTGTCAAAGAAGCATGTCTTGCTTACCGGTCCATAGGCAGGCCCCGTCGAAGCCGAACGAGTAAAGATCATCTCCAAGTCCGTTTCCGCCCCACTTGGACCCTCCGCCTGGGTAAGGCACGTATCCAGCCGTGTTGGCCCAGCCGATGCGCAAGTGGGGAGCCAGGTGGCTTACTTGCTCGCAGTGGTCCACCATGGCCTCGTAGTACCAGCGCCTGAACAACGCCGCGCCCTCGACCTTGCCAACGAAGATATTGGGCTGCATGCTAAAGATTTGAAGAGAAAAGGTGGTCACTAAATCGACTATTGCGCCTTGCATATCAAAATAAATCTTCCTTTTGAGCAAGCACACTGTGGCGTAAGACTCCGGTGTCTTGTTGAACTACTCAGGGGTCATAATGGCCCTAGCAAGGAAGTACTCTAGCTGTTTTGCATTCCGCAGCCATCCACAAGCTACAGCGGCTATAAGCATCAAACCGGCGTCTTTTGGCGCTGTTTTACAGCGTGTTGGTCACTAAGTTATTGCCGTGGTTACGCAGGTGGCCAATCAGCAAAGTGCAGAGGTCGACAGGACAAAATAAGCGTGAATCTATATGGTACTTCTAATGAAAATTTGAAAACAAAGTGTTTCTGAAATGAGAGTTTATCTGTATTTCGTGCATTTACTTTGTGTAATGCTGCACGCTTCACACGTTCGGATCACGAACGGCTTTCGCATTATCAGAGTGATAAAGCTCACTTAAAAAGTAGCGTGCATACAGCTCTGACAATACAGGGGCAACGGAAATTCGTTATAGAGAAAATACTTCACAGAGATTATTTTGAGTGCAGCGTCTCTGCACTTTTGTGATAACATTTACGTTTAGCCTTACCGAGCATATTGTGCCAGATCTGCAATCCGGTGCTGCTAAATGCCCTTCGAGCATTCTAAGCACCAGTATTTTCGTCTGACTTTCAAACTGTGAACTGTACCTCACTAGTACATAAAAGGCGTTAGGTTTGGTCAGGGCGAAGGAAGAAGCTTTCTTTTCGTGGAGGGCACTTTCTTGATTTCGGGAAGCGGGAGTTAGAGGCGTCTTCTTGAAATGATTGATTACTTTTCATTCTGAATGCTATGGTGAAAAAAATTCGGGGGGAGGGACACGGGTTTGGTGTACCACCTCCTGGCTACGCGACCATGTTTGGTGGAGGTCCAATTCTCTTAACTGCCCAAACTACGAAATTGTTCTTTCGTTCACCCCTTACATGGGGCAGAATCTTCCACTTGACTACAACTTGCATTCAGGCTCCTCGTGAACCTCGCATATTTATATAATGATTGAATGACTTCTGTTTTGTATCGAACTGTTTACTAGTTCTTCCTTGCAACTTCTTACGGTGAAAGTTCATTGCCTCACTATACCTGGCCACGTGATCGACGAGACGGGTCTGCAGCAGCAGATTTTTTCCGGGCAGCAGGTTGTCGCAGATGTTGTTTTGACTGCTGCGCACGGCCACACCTTTGCCCGTCACGCAGAGGGAGCAGAGGACGTCCAACACCTGCGTTATATATATACTTTTTTTTAGTGAGGAGTCAGATACCACACTGTACTAATCTACAAATAAGTGCATCGTAGCTCAGCTTTCTATACTTTATAGCTCCAGAAGTGTTGTTACAAATTACTTACATTCATTTTTTCTTTTTACAAAAGAAGGCACCTCTGTTATATTTGTATACTGTTGACGCTCATAACCTGATGTACTGCGCTTACTAATATCATTAGTACAACTAGTAAACAATAGGTAATGCGAAACTATGTCTAATGATGGTTGTCTTAGCAGATGTGGGCTAGATGATGGCAAATTTAAAAATGGTAATATTGTTTGTGTGTTTAGAAAAAAGTTTATTTACACTATGTACAGAAAACAAAGGTATCATTACATTCTAGTAATAGGGCACATACACTTCGGCACATCTATGTGCCACGACAAACATCACTACGTTGCAATGAAGACATCATTGCTCTAATATATATGACACTGTTGGCATACTTGTTCACAAAAACTCAATACAACATCATGATACAAGGCTGTAACGACGCAATAGATGCAAATAAATAATTGGTTGCAAACAAAATTATGAATAACTACTCTACGGGCGCTGCTTAGCACCACGTCTGTCGAAAAATCAGTTTTACCCTTTCGTGTTCAACATTGACGAAAGGGCACGACCAATGCCACAGAAACTCGTGCTCTCCGAGAAATAAAAGCTCCTCAGAGAGGAACGCAAGGATCTCTCGTCTCACTCGGCCGAGTATCTGCCACAGAGCACGCCAACGGAAGTTCACAGCCACGGCTTTGCATTGGTTTCGTCAAAAACTGAACAGCCCTGCAACTATTAAAAGAGACGAGAAGTGCCCGCGCGGGAATCGGCCGTTGGTCACGAATGTTCGCACACTTTGTCCCCGAAAACCGGCATAGACCGCACGCCAAAAAAAGGGCGGGAGACCACACATTCAATTGTCGCATGTCGATTGCCTCGATCATGACGCAATTGGGGCAAGTGGAAGTGCGAACCACCTGCCATCGCTGAAACCGATCTCGAGTGCGGAGCAAGTCGCAGCTTAACCACCAGATATAGTCCCGGAGATGTCCTCGCAACACTGCAGCAGCTATTGGTTTATAAGGGCGGTTCAATATAGATTAACGATGCTGGGGCACTAAGGGCCGTAGCAGAGCGGCCATTGTGTCCACCACTTTAGATTGAGCCACCTCTATCTCTGGGTCCGTAGCCTCCAATCATCAGTGAAATGCGAGAAAGGCGCGATACAAAGATTGTAATTCAGTGGCTTGAGGACCATGGTTAATTTGACTAGCCGGCCGGATGACACGTAATGACGGTCCCGCATAGTAGCGAGCCAGTGTCTAAGCGGGCGTGCCATCATTGCTTAGTATTCACAATAGAGTGCGGAAGCACAATGTAGAAGCCGTGGTGGAATGGTTGGGGAATGTAAAACCGCCCCTATATCGTGGTTGAGCTAACGCCGGACGAGATAACAATTCGGTGGCATTGACATTACCCCAGTGTCGTGAACGTCGGTAATGAGACCGTGGGATGCGTACACGTGATCAATTCTGCTGCTCGACGCTGCTCGACTCCAAGTATAGGCATAATTGCTACCATGTACACTTTCATGAATGTCGCTAAATGCGAAAAGCTGCACTAGACGTTCGAGTTCTCTAGCGTTCCAGTTTGAGCGGCCGCGACCCGGACCTCGAACGTCTGCGTGTGGGTCAAAGACACAATGTAAAGTCCCTATTAGTACCACATGATGTCAATTTAAAAGGAACGCATCAAGAGATTGGTAGAACGCGTTAGAGTTCACGGACGCCACTGGGACGTACACGCCAACAACTCCTATACGTAACGAAAAAAAGGAGCAGTCAAACGCCAGCATGCGTCCGAAGGCGTCGAAGGAAACATGATGGTCACGCAAAAGACTTCGGTTACAAAATAGCAGCATATCCATGGGGTGAATGATGGAGAGTGGGGCGAAGCATGCGTCCGTCCATTCGTTCTTGTTTCTGTCCGTTCATGCGTTCTCTGTGTGACCGTCCGTGCGTTCATCCGCCCACCCGTGCGTGCGTCTGTTCGTGCGTCCGCACGTACATCCCTGCGTCCGTCCCTGTGTTCATCCATGCATCCACCCCTGGGTTCGTCCATGCATCCTCTCCTGCGTCCGTTCATTCGTCCATCCATGCATCTGTCTGTGTGTCCGTTCGTCGATCTATTTACCACTCCAAGTACCACCATCTCGCATCTTTTCATCATAAATTCCGCATATAAAGGAACCGCCATCCAGCGCACATTGCAAGGACTAAATGAGATGTGGCACACGCACACTTTCTTACGGCTTGCGCTTCGTGTCTACTTCCCACATTTAACCACCTCGAGTTCATGGTATATATTAGTTCACTGTATTCGTGGCAGTGCGGCCCAACGCTCGCTAAACCTTTCTAACACCAAGGAGGATACGCCCAGCGAGTATAACGTAGCAACCCTTTCTTGCCAGATAGTGCTCATTGTACATGCCAATCGCTGCTAATGGGGAATGAGAGACAATAAAATTCGGCTCTTAGTTAACGCGCACGCTGCGAATTTTTTTAGTATTGAACAACGCGTAGGAGATATCTCCCACCAGCACCACCTTGTAGGTCAAAACGTAAGACTGGTTACGCACTACGACGAGGCACGAACGGGTACCGCTTTAAGCAGCTTCGCTCCTAATAATGACTACGACGCCAGTCGAACGCGTGCTGGCGTACGAAAAGAAACCATCAATATTGAATGCGTGCTTGAAAGTGAGTACATCAGAAACCTTAAAAAAGTTGTTTCTTGCACAAACAGCAAATCACAGTGCACTGAACGGGCGAGAGCCTGTTTTTGCGAATCTCAGCCTGTTTTTGCAAATCTCCCAAACCTTTAACGTTAAAAGCATTGCCTTTTAGAGTAAGAGCCATGGGCAATATAAAACATAATATAAAATCACTCAAAGGCAGGAGTACTTTTAGCAGGTGCGGGACCTGGTGCCCCGCGAGTGGCTGAGTCATTTTTTTACGGCCAGGCGATCCACCAGAGGCTCGGGGCTTACGGGACCGCGTGGAAATCTACAGCGGACTACTGTGTTTGGTGGGGGCTTCTGAGTCACTAGTATATATCCGGTGACGTTTGGTGCCCGAGTTCTTGAAAGAGGGTGGTACAAAGGCGTGTACACTGTCCTGGCTTATGTCACTGGGGCTAGTGTTTTCATCAATTTGTAGCGGCGCCTCACTCGTGGTGCTGGTGGAGTCCTCGCAGATGCACGCGTGGTTGTCTTGGGATGTATTTGCCTCCATTACATCTGAACTTGTGGTCAACTGAGCAGCCACGTGAGGAGCATCAGATTCATCTGAGACGCCTTCCTCACAAGGAGCCTTGTCTGACGAGGGCTCGGCCTGCCGTTCTTCATAAATGGCCACGGGACGCGGGGAACTTGAGTTTTCAGAACCTGGAGGATTTACCAGGTCTGGAATCGTTGGGAACGCAGTGGACGTCTGGTGCAGCGTCGCGATTGGCGCACTTTGGTCGTGGTCGGTTACCGCAGCTCACGATGACGAAAACTCCCACCTGTTCTTAGACGGCGTTCCTGCCTGAAGTGGAGGGAAATCCTTGGATGCCACCTATGAGTACGACTGTTTTATCGCGCAAGCTACAGTGGCATGTGGGTCACCGCAGCGGCGGCACGGCCGTGAACAGTCCTCACCGTCATGGCCATAGACTTCACACCGACCACAAGAGGGAGTGCTGCAGTTCATACTAAAGTGATCACTGTCACCACATCCACGGCACACTCGCTGTATTTCTTTATACTCGCAGGTCGCACGGTGGCCAGCGACTTTGAGGTAGTTGGGTACAGGTGACGATGGCCTTCATTTCCATGAGGAGGTATCGCGTCGCAGTGGTCACGGTTGGACGTGATCCCTTGAGTCCTCTGGTGATATGCAACGCTTTCCCGTAGGGGGACAGTGCTTGCGCGAAAACTTCGCTGGGGACGTGGCACGGCAGCAACAGGACAGTTACCTGATTGACTTGGGGTGCTAGGAGTACGATGTACCACGCAATTTCCTTGGATGATGAGGTGTGACGCGTCAACGATTTCAGCCAGGTCGGCTTCGCTGTTTACTGTAACTTTGAAATTCCGGCCTCCGAAGTGCTGAACACTGTATACTTCTTTGATTCCTACTATTGAAGACGTCGCATCAACGACGTCTTCAAGACTTGCCCCCTCAGGAACGACAACATCGAAGGCTAACGCCTTCTTCGGTGGCTGACTTGCCATAATGGGTGCCCACCAGCCTAAGGACGCCCTTTAACGTGCTGCTTAGCTCGTCACCAAATGCTAGGGTGAGCAAGAACGTTGGCCACATACACAAAGTTGGGCACAGACACATACATAGCTGATTCGTAGCTCTCACATACAAGCACAAATCAACATAAGTTAGTTCTTTCAGAACTGTTTAAGAGTAACACATTTTTTTTCATTCTGAGCCGATAAACATCACTTGAGAAGATCAGGCAGCAAGTGTAAAACAAATGACAACCTTCCTTGTCAAAGAGACACTAAACAGAAAACTAGCTTTCTTTTATTACTACATCAGTGCATCACTATACCGAAAACACTACTCTTGCCACAAGGAAACGGGTGAAAAAAATTTAGGTGATGACGCTCCCTTGAAATTTCCACCAAACATCATGATGTGACAAATTTTGACAGTGTCGCGTTGTTGTACTTTGTTCCAAACGATAAAAATGAAGCCCAAATCATTCTCTTTAGGAGGACGATGAACTTCTGACCAAACCCAAAGAAACTTCAATTAGTCAGTGATACCAAAGGGCACAATAAAACCTGGGAAATCAACCGTGGAAATTTCTGTGTGGAATTGAAAATTGAGATTTTTAGCTGTGTTTTCACCCTATTATTAAGCTTAGATGGCGAAGTTAAGCACATTGAAAATTTCAAACTACACTTTTTGCTTATGAACCCATTAAATGTTGAGAATCTATTGTGTCTAGCAAACGTAACGAGCCTTTACCCTTAGAGATTCCTTAAATTAATCCATTGTTTTAGTTTTGTATCTTTTTATGGCTTCACAATTGTAGACTAGGGCGTCGAAACATTCACCGTATTCTTACACAAGAGGTACATGAATCGCGTATTTGTGAGCCAGTCCCCGCCTACGCGGAACATGTCATTCCGAAAGGCGTGCGTGCACAATAGCACTGTGTTTGAATTTTTTATTTACCTTCGGATCACGTCCATGCTTTTCAAGGAGAGAGATGATAACTTTGATGTGGTCTTCTTTGAGGATATTCAGAGCTTCAGGACTGTCAATCAGCACACAATGCAGTACATCCAGCATGCCTGTAATAAACCATACCGTGAGGCAATGAAAAAATCGCCTGAGGCCACGTACCTTAGAAATCGACATTATGCGAAGCATGATTGTTTTCTTCATTCAGAAATACCCTGCTTTGCCCAAAGGCGTGTAAGCGGGGGGGGGGGGGGGGGGGAGGTCACAGCTTTGAAAAAAACAAGTCTTCGTTATGAGGGCACACTTGGTCACAAAACAATTGCTTCCACTCTTGTACAGTATGAACAAAAACAGAAAAGGTGACCGTTTTCTAATTGTTTTTTGAGCAACACGTTACCAAACCACGCTAAATAACAAATGTTGCCCACCCCGACATATGTAGAAAAGTCACCCATATTGAAATATAACCAGCTGTTTTCACTTGCGCAACAATGCCAACAGCAACAAGAGTAATAGCAACACCAGAAGCGATAAGTCTATATAAAGCGCTTATGCTCGTGAGGGTCATAGCCCTTGACAAAGCTACATAAATCAACATCAATGAATGGCACCTTATCACAATTGTTTTTAACCCGACCTGATGGCTGTATCATAGGAATACAGTCAGCTAAAGCTTTATTTGTTCTACTCCAGAGGCAAAACAGTGGCTACCACTGTTTTGCCTCTCAGCGTGTCAATACAGAACGAAGTTAGAAAAAAATTGTTTCGTAAACATGTGCTTTGTGGCATACGCTTGTCCTCACTTTATTTCAAAACTTAATTTATTCTGATGGCAAAGATACACAGTAAAAAGTCATAACTTTGCCGAAAAGGCGAAGAAATGAACGCGATAGCAACAAATTGGTAGGTCACGCAAAGAATGGAAAGCAGATCAAAACATGCCCCGCATTTCTCATGCACAACACACGCACAAAAAGTACTAACTAACACGTTAAGATGAACGCGGATAAGCGTCTCAGTTGTTACTTCGATGCGTCTAGAAAGCACGCCCTTTTCGCATAGGGAGACTGTGAAACGATTGCAGTGACTTTTGTGTAGCCCGTAATTACACCAGAATCATTTCAAGCCTAACTCCAGACAAGACGTATGATCCTCCACACCGGGAAATAAGGGCGCGCGACAGATCGTCTACTCATCTCTTCTCCGGGAGTGAAAGTACACGTGAGAGATGAGAGCAGCCGCGCGCTCAGTGCAGCATCTTGCTGATATTGCTGAAAACACAATAGTTCTCCCCGAGATTCCCGCCAACAGCAGTAAATGGTGGGCATCAATAGCTTGCCGCTTGACGGTTCATTAGTGGTTAACACCTACACCTCGTATTTACGATGCGGCGGTCCTACGTTCGGTTCCGCGCGCCGGAATATTTTTTCTGGATTTATATTTTTCTTGCATATATATATATATATATATATATATATATATATATATATATATATATATATATATTTATATGTAAATGAGCACTAACACGCAATAATGCCAAGGAATGTATAGAGGAAGTTATTAGACCAATTGCAATGTAAATGTGAAGAAAGAAATGTGGGTGAAAAGATAACTTGCCGTGAGCAGGAACCAAACCGGCGATCTTCAAATAACGCGTTCGATGCTCTACCATTGAGCTACCACGGAGTCTATCCCCCCAGAACTTTATTGGGTTTATATATGAATTGAAACGTGGAAGTGTCAGTGAGCGCCACCTGTAGCCATGGAGGCGAGTGTGGCACACTCTTTATGGATCTGTTTGGCTTCACGTAGCACGTGAACTTGGTACGAGCTGGCAGCTGACCAATAAATAGACCCTCGTATACAACCTAGCGGCACCAATTCTGCCAGTACGAGACCCTCGTTAATGAATAAGGGAGTAAAGAGTATACTTAAGGGCTCGTTTTTCAGCAGTGGTACAGCTAAGTGGCAGAGCATCAAACGCGTTATTCGAAGGTCGCAGGTTCGGTTCCTCCTCACGGCAAGTTATCCTTTCACCCACATTTCTTTCTTCCCGTTTACATTACAATTGGTTTAATACCTTCCCCTATACATTCTTTGGCAATATTATGTGTTAGATCTCAATAATATTGTGTCAAAACACGGAGAAACGAGCTCTTCAGTGTACACTGCTTTCTCAAATATATATATATATATATATATATATATATATATATATATATATATATATATATATATATATATATATATATATATATATATATATATATATATATATATAACTTTGTGTGTTATAGCAATAAAAACGGCAACTCATGGACGATAGCTCAAATTTGGCAGACGGTACTTAAGTAATGGCCATAAAATCAGATATCCAGCACTGCAACCACAATTCACTTCAGGGTCTATTTGAAAAGAATTCCCGGGGCCTGACGTAGCTCTGTGGTATAATATTTGATAACCACGCAAAATGCAGGCGGTCGGTTCCCGCTGGGACCCTCACATTTAATATCTTCATTTGTGTGGTGAACACTCCCAATGTTGGCTTTTTCTTAACGCTCATGCCTAAATATTACTCATTTGTGTGCTCTTGCCATTCCTTGGTAGATTATAAGTGCAAAACACCTGTGGCACATACATGCATACCAGTGGCACATGCCCGCCCGCTGGTATGTGCCACTCTCTGGCGGAAAGTGTTTGGCAACGTACGCGACCAGATTTTGACAATATTCATGTCAGAGCGTCATATTTGTCAAACCATCTTAGCCTCAAATACTGTTTTCGGTTCTCACCAAGATTAGCAAGTGATCAAGAGAGCACCCAAACCTATGCGGATAGATAGATAGATAGATAGATAGATAGATAGATAGATAGATAGATAGATAGATAGATAGATAGATAGATAGATAGATAGATAGATAGATAGATAGATAGATAGATAGATAGATAGATAGATAGATAGATAGATAGATAGATAGATAGATAGATAGATAGATAGATAGATAGATAGATAGATAGATAGATAGATAGATAGATAGATAGATAGATAGATAGATAGATAGATAGATAGATAGATAGATAGATAGATAGATGCAAAAAGTGCTTGAAACCGCAAAGAAATGCTTCGTATATAAAACAAGCTGCCTCCACCAACGTAGTGTACTGAAGTTCATGAAATATTTGAACCCATAGGAGAAGAAATTTAGAGCTATAATTAACTGTGACGAATCAGTATTTAGATAACTCCCGCTTTCCTGAATATTTTAAGAAAAAAGTGTTTGTGTAGAGGAGCCATCAATAATAGTGTAACCGAATCGAAAACACGCGTGGTGTTTACGCCGAAATAAAAGTTAGGTTGTAATGATATGAAAAGTTAGGCTAGTTGGCTTGAAGCCATTGTTGGAAACATTTCGGCGCGCCCACAATAAACAAAAAAAGCAGTTTGTTTGCCTTCTTGCCTATCGTTTTGCATCTCTTGTCTGTGCACTGAAAAGTTTTGAAGAAAGTCAGGGAATTTTTGCAATACGGGGCAGCTGATGCAAATGAAAGAGAGCTGCTCATAGAGTATTTATACTTCGTTCAAAATGTGAATGAACTTACACCATGACCTCATTGGGGTGATTCTTACGTATTCATTCTGCCAGCGTCGTTAAACGGAAGCAGCTTTCATCAAGGTTCACGAAAAACACCTTCGCAGTTCACGGCGATTGTGTTTAGAAAAAGTGCTTAACGACTTCGAGTATTTCGTACTCGACTATGGGAGAGCAGTGCGCCGTCCCGGCGTCTAGGCGAACAGAACGCTGTGACGCTGACGTGAGAAACTGGCCCAATCTCCGCTAAACTTCCTTGCAACCCATTAACTCGTACCTTCATGTCAATGACAGTATTTTCAGTCATTATCTGTGCCTTGTAGATGGGTGATTACTAGCTAATATGGGAATTTTATTTTCTCATTTTTGTGACCCCCTTCATTGATGAACGCTGTTAATGAAACAAGGCGGCCTCGCAAAATAAAGTAAAAGAAGAAACATTGGCAGACCCCACGTACAGTGGGAATCGATGATATGCGAAGCACAATAGAGAAATGTTGATATGTTACTTTAATTTAATCAGCACAACGTTACGAGGCGGAATTAAACGATGCCGTACATGACTTACAAGTCATGATTATCATGTTTGGTTGTGTCTTTTACCTTCGTGATCTATTCACGTCACATGACACAAAATTTAGTATATGTGGTGCTAGCGGAACGGTCGCGAGCATGCTATGAGTGTGGTATGTTGTCATGTTCCTACATGACACGCGTGTCAGGATTATCATGTTTGCACCAGTCATATATTTCGTCATCCATTGACGTCACGTAACACCAAACTTAGTATATGTGGAGCTAGCCAATTATACTCCAATGTAGCGTTGACGAGCACGTATACTGTGCACAGCGACGCTACGTTAGCAAAACGCGAGCACTCTATATATAGTCTGACGCCAGGCGCGACCAGCGTCCGTTGGCGAGGGCCGACGGCAACCGGCGCGAAATACGACAAGCTGCATTTCAAGCCTGTATGTTACGCAGACAACACTGAGTAAAAAGATAACACTGGGTGGTGGTGGTGTTTGAAAGATGAATAGCTTGCAACTCTCGCATATATTTACACAGGCCTCATCTCAGCAGTGTGCACATGCGTTCGGTTGTGCCCTTTATTTATTAGAATCATTAAAATTAAACAGCATTTTCACTGTCACCATACCTGTTCCTTCGGAGGCTTGTTGGCTGCTCAGTCGACTAAACAACCAGTCTAGCCTGTGTGGCTGAGCGAACTGAGCGCAGTTAGTGTGGTTTCCTTTGATGATAGCAGCTGAAGGAAGAAAAAACAGCTCAGTTTCAGACGTCGCTCACGCCACCAGATAAAATATTGCAACATAATGTAACTACGCCTCAAGGTAAATATTTGTAACATAATCAGACTTCGCCCTAAGATAATGAATTGTAACATGGCCAGTCTTCGCCACCAGGTAATTAATTGTAACATAAACTTCGCCACAAGATAACTAATTGTAACATGAGGAGACATCGACAACAGTTAAGGAATCGTAACATAAAGGGGCTTCTTCGCCACATAATTATTAGTTACAAAAACACATCGTACTTTGCTACCAGATAAAATAATGTAACATAAACCGACTTCATTTTTTTTGGAGAAAATTGCGTGACTAGAGATACCTGACATTGGAAAAAGAGCACTGAGCTGCAACGGGGATATACATTGCAGCAAAATTGGTGATACAGGTATACCAAAGAGGAGACCCTTTTCAGTTATTGCACGTTCATTATCGAAAATGCACGTTCGCATTTCATGTTATAGTGCTGCGTTCGAATCATAAAGCAATGAAGTAATTTATCTTCACTCACCTAGCAGTTGGTATAAAAAGCCCGATATCGTTTCCCAGCTCTGCCCGGCATCGTCGCCACCCATTGACACCAGATAACCGGAAGTTGTTATTGCGTTGATCTTATCTATAGTTTCCAGGATGAGGTTCAAGATGCCCTGCGAGGAGTTGAGACACAGTATGGGTACGCAAATCCACAAAGAATAAAACGGAAAAATTCCTGTTGTTACGAAATCATTGCTTGAATGTACTGGCGGGACAGTGAAATGCCTGACAAAATGACATCGTACGGACAAGAATTATTCTCATGTTATAGATTAGCATTCAGTATAGTCGAGAAATTCATGTTATGAGTAGGTGCTTATCTTCGGACTTACCTCTTCTTGAAACAAGTCTTGCCTGTTTCTCAGGGCCTTCAGCTTATTCTGCTTCTCTTCGTGCTCTGTAAATACAGTTAAATACGTCACATAAGTTGGAACGAGACGCGTGACATTCATTACTTGTGAAAATAAGTGTGATTGAGGCATGCAAGCACGCGTTCCACAAAAGACACGGACACATTACGTGTGTTGTACAGAATATGTTCACCATATAAAAGACAGTGTTATGAACAATGACCCTATATTGCTTCGAATCTTTCGTTCAGTGGGTACGAAGTTTATGGTGCCAGCATAACACCAAATATTTGTCTAATTCCGGCTATACAGTATTCCAGGCATTCATACGCACACATAAGAAGTAACAGATGCCAGCAGGCACAAGTGAGCCTTCTCGACGAGTTCTTAACAGCAGCGCAATTGTGATGTTTTAGATGTGATGTGAATGTCGCAATCTTCAGAATAGAGGATATTTATATATGACGTCGTAAAAAGTTACGAACACATAGATCTATTTTGTGTGACAGGCTCAATTCTGTGCACCCAATGGGAGAATCTCGAAGCAACAGTACAAGTTAAGCACTTTGTAAATATACCAGGAAACGTTCCTATGAATGCACGCATTTCCGGTAGTGTGTTAGATTTCAAAGGTGGTGAAATGAGTGATATGTTTCTCACCAATGTCATCTTCCGGTTGGACGAAGTAGTTAATGAGATCCTCGAAGCACATTATCATCTCGTCTTGGTCGATGGTGCTCATCGCGGAATCCTGCCTGCCTGCGCCGCTTTGCATCGCATCCAGGTTTCTGTAAATAAAACAAATAATCCATTCACAAGTTTGTTGCTCACATCAAAAAAGAAAAAAAAAATCTCACACTGAGCCTACAAAGCAGGGAATAAATATTGTAGCATCAGCCTGTATCACTTCTAATACCCATGCCACACGGGTAGAGAAAATGGCATTTACCCCCGAATGCCTTAAGATTTATTGCCATTCACGCGGTGCCACACGGGCGAACGAAATGGCATTCGTGCGAATGCCATTCGCCACCAAATGCCTTCGCGAGAACTCAGTTGACTGAGAAATGCCTACTCTCGACGACACAGCTCGCGAAGTGCGATTTACCTTAAAGTAAATAAAACAAATCATATTCAGCTAAAAATAAAACTTCCCGTCTTTTATTTGCACTAAACTTTTAAAAAAGTGCTTCGACCGTTATACGAAGATCAGGTTGAAATGGTTTAAAATTAATTCAAGTTAAATGTACTGAAGGTGACGCTTACTAACTCGTCTTTGCTCCAGAATTATTCGCTCTTGAGCGTGATGCTTTGCATGGAAACACACAAGTGCTGCCGTGAAAAAGTGAACTCTGCGAACATCTTCTGAGAGATGCGGCAGGCGCCATTTTCTAATTACGCTGTGGATCTGGCTTGTGTTGGCTTAGGGTGCTACGGTCGGCTGCAACGTCGTAAAACAAAGCAAGAAACTACAACTTAGGGCAGCGTAATATGCTTATTTCTATTTTTAATGATTATATGATGAGTATGAAGCATGTAAACCCTTGTTTATTTTTTTTATTGCTATTCTCCCAATGCTCACTTGGAAGGTGCTGCGATCGACATCATCAAGTCAAATGTCATTCGCTTTGGACGTGTAGCAGCGACGGCGAAACAAATGTCATTCGGGAACTGAAGGCCTTCGCCACCAAATGTCATTTTCTATGCCCGTGTGGCACGGGTATAAGTTAGCTATTTCATATTTAAAATAGTATTTTACGCGGAATGCTCAGCAGTGGCCCGTTTGTTAGGGCTTTAATTAAAATCATAACTTGGCAAACAACAAAGTCGAAATGAGCCAGGAGCATAGTTCTGCAAAACTTGTGGAGTTCACTAAAACTGACTAGTGAAGTATATTTTACGCCTTGGGCTCACTCGGATTCCAGCTTACAAAAAGTTTCCTGAGCCTTACTCACTCGGGCTAACGCTCACAAAAGATTTTTTTTAGCGGACCCATTCGGACTCAAACTCGCAATGAAATACTGGCCCGAACTCAACTAGACTTAGACTCCCAGCTGAACATGACTTCAAGTGAGTCGAAGTTAGTGAACTCGTAATTCTTTGGGCTTATAATATCCTCTCCTCTAGCATATCCAATGACTCAAACAACGTAACTCACATTACGATAGAATGTACATTGCATAATGTAATGTTTGGGTGGCGAAACAAGACAAAACATTATTTTTAATGACTGCATTGTCTTAATTATCTGGCGTTCCTTCATGTACATACACGATGAACTTGTTGAAGAGTGATCCACATTTTCGGATGACGCGCGCAGTTCGAGATTCTTCAACTTGGGCACGACTGAATTCGAGGCCGTCGTCCATCTTTCCTTCTTCAGACATGATTGCCTGCGTAGAGTCAGTCAGAGGTATACAGACTGCATTGGTGTTGTACAACGAGTCATGTGCGAACACGTGGCCAACGTATCAATAGTGCGGTGACGCTTGTAGCATCTGACAGTTATTTTCAGTGTTTACGCTGCGCCAGCCTCAAAGTGCTGTGCAAAGTAAAAGGCCCATGCCAGTGGCGAAAGTCCTCACTGCGAAAATTGATTCACTCAGAGATATGTGAAACTTTGTAGTCTTAACTCGAGATAATTAGGATATAACGTAGCGCTGAAATCAAGGTCATAAAAGCTTTCCCAACATAGAGGCACCTTAAGTGACCTTGCGATAAAAGACCCGTTGTACTCGTTCATCGCTTTGAGTTCTTGTGTACATATATGCCAACGTTGTCATGTATATTCGAGCATATGTCTTCACTGTAACGTCGTGATGTTAGTCGTGATACATAGATGTGCCGAAGTGTATGTGCCCTGTTAGTGGAATGGTATGAAGCCTTTCTGTTCTGTACATGCAGTACGTAAATATTTTCTAAACAGGTTGTCTACGAAAAGCGAATCATTTAAAATTTATTTTTTATCACCACATAGGTACAAAGTGTACATAAACAGCAAGGATGGTGGCATAATATTTGCGCATAGACAGTTTGACTTGTCCCACTCCTCGTACAATGATAACAGCAACACGAAACGAACATATATTAAAATTTATTTTTATCACCACATAGGTACAAAGTGTACATAAACAGCAAGGATTGTGGCATAATATTTGCGCATAGACAGTTTGACTTGTCCCACTCCTCGTACAATGATAACAGCAACACGAAACGAACATATACTTGTTGCAATATTTAGTTGCGTACTTAGAAGAACACGTATCTCACCTGTTTCTCCTCTACTTTGCCAACTCCGCGTTTTTTAGTCTCGTACGTCTGAAACAAAAAGAAAGGAATAGCCTGTTTCACCAAGCTAAGCTCGTCATCAGTGCTTATATCTTGTGTTCGTTGAGTAAGAGTTGCTGCGGCTTGCATCGTCTTCATGCACTGGCACTATAAGTTGGTAGCATTCATGCAATCATACATGTGTTCATTTATTCGTTCAAAGGCCCGCGAACTACTCTCTTCAACTCTGGCGCAATGTCGTTGCTCTATGAACATATAAAAAAACTAAATTCTAAAGCAACAATGCCAAACAGAGAAGGAGCTATAATTAGATTTTTAATAATATAGATCAGATAAACAGACTGGGGCTGCAAGAAAAGCGTTAATAATACATAATACTTTGCTACATTATGATGCTTTTAATGGCATTAGATGTGCACATAGAATACACGTAGTGTCGAGATTGCGCAAATTAGGGCAACGCGCACAGAAAATTACTACCGAGTCGTTCTGTGGTTGGCAAATGTGTTAATCATGTAATACCAATGTATTTGCATGATTTCTCAAAGTAGCCTAAGCATGCAACGTCTTGCCTTTCGTACATTTTTCTGCTTTTGCCATTCGCAATGTACTGATTTTCTCTGTTACAGCGTGGTACAGTTCCTTTTCTTTTTCAGTGGTTCTGTCGTCTCTTCTTTTTTTTGTAACGCTTGCTATCATTCATGCCATTGTTGTTTCTCTATAACCGGATAAATTTCCGACAGTCTGTGAGACATTAACGAATGACTCAATTGATTTGTTCAATAATGAGTAAACTTTGACTTTTCGAGGATAGTTAGGGAAGGTCAATATGAATGTTATCACCTTGTACGATAGCCACAGTCCCGTTTCTAGATGCTGAAGGAACACCGTAGTGTCGCCGTATTTGATCAGGGGTGATCCAAGAACCTCTTCTTCTTTTTCATCCAGAACGATCTTTTTATCGTCCTAATAAACGAGAAAAACGGAGATTACAGAGCGTCAAAAAAAAAACAAGTTCCCACTCTAATAAAAAAAATGCAAATAAAGTCAGTCTTTCCATATGCCCAAATTGTAGCTGCAAGTTAAGCCAAACCTATCTTTAAAAACGCAATTAAGGCTTAAAAGTTCCAAATTTTCAGGAGAAAACGATAAGCGCCTCGTCAAGTGTCAAAATTGAGCAGCGTCACACAGCGTTGACGCCGACGCGAGTGATGCAATAAATGATCCCCATGCGACGACGTCCCCATATGCCGTCACATCGACGTCACAGATCCCCGGCATTTGAGACGCCATCACGAAGGCACACTGAAATAACATCACGTGACATGAGGACGTCATCACACGACATACTCGCTGGGTGAGAAGTAAGCTGATCGCGGAGTTGCCTGCAATCCTGGAGACTGTAAAAACGACGTTAGGTCCAGAACGCTTTCCATTTGTAGCGCAGCAGGCTCAGTGTATCACTTGATATAAAATAAAAAAACATGGCCTACGCCTTTCACTTCTGCTAGGTGAAGGTGTAAGGGAGCCTGCCATTTTAGAATTATTGGTTTACTTCTTTCTTTGTTTCTTTCGCAATGCGTACCCGAGGAACCTGTCTTCTCACTCGCAGCTTCATTTAAAGTGTGCATGCTCCCAGAAAAGCACAGGACATTGAACTTCGGTATTTCGATCTTACTATAGGGCGTACGACACCCTGGATTGGAAAGACAGCATTTGATTCTTTTTTATTATTTCTAATTCAATTACATAGAACGTGGTGCCACTTGGCAAAGCTGGATATTATGAAGTGAATCAATCGAAAGAAAGATTGCGTATGACGTGGCTGCATTGTAAAAAAAAAGACAAAAGACAAGAGCAGTGAACACTCAAATATCCGTGACGTATCAGTACTAGTTGGCTGTGCATACTCTATACGCGGTGCAATTAAGGCGTCAATTCATCGGCGTTCACGGTTTCGGAGGGAATCGGCTCAAGGCAACGATGGAAGGCTAAACGAATTTCATTTCTCTTATACGTATCCTGAGTCCAGGCATGCTTTGACGGTTTCAAACGTTCAACTGTTGTATCTACTTTACCGAGCAGCGTGGTTACTAACACGAGAAAGCCTCTATAACGCTGTAATGACCGCAGCAAAGCAACTTAGGCTTTCATATAGACATCGTTGTATCAAGGATTGAAGACCTTCGGCATTGCACTTGGCTCTTGGCTACACTACTATGAACTCGCCTTTGTTTGCCTCAAGCAGAACGCTGTAGCCGCGACAGTGGCACGCTCTCGAGGCACGAGGCAGACCTCTCGGTTTTCGCCGAAGGCCAGGTACTGGCCCGTCGTTATGTGGTGGATGCGGAGCGGATATCCCCAGTTCACGAAGCCACCCGCCCACCTGGAAAGAGTGTGAACAATACATATGACTCCGTGAATTCCAAAGTGGTATTTAGAAAAAGCGGTTAACGATTTACAGTTCTTGGTACTTTACTATGGGAGAGCATAAAGCAGTCCCGTGGGCCTCACAGTTGATGAGGCCCCGCTGACAAGTAGTCCGCCGTGTCTCTAGGCACGACGACGGAACGTCCTGGTACCGCACATAGACCGAGTGGTATAAAGTACTTTCCTATCCGTCAATCGGAGGAAATGACACTGCATGTGGTCGATTTGTGTGTGGATGCTCGCCGCAGTTCAGCTGACAACACCACTTAGCTTAAATCTACAATTCCCAAAATAGATCACTTGTGCTCAGATATTTTCACTTTATTTTGCGAAAGTTTGTCGCTTTCTAGCCATTGTGAAACTTCAATTTCCAATTGAGACAAGGCCACACACTTTATCTCAACGAATTACAGAATGCGTAATATCTTCGCCATCTGTTGTAATAATATTACCGGGAAACATCTGTACCGACCTCTCCAGCAAGAAGTGCGCTCCCTAAGAGCTTCATAAACACCCTTGAACAAAAAAAAACAAAATGTCTCAAATACAATGCTACGCAGTCGACAAAACAAGTGCATGTTGAATAAATACACTACGCTCTGCAGTGAGTAACAAGCAGCTCACTGAGCGTTCAGTACTCTTAAGTTAAATAAGTAGTGTAAGAGTGTCACCACATATATGTAAGCGTAACTTTGCAGCTAATCATAGTGAAGTAAAACAGACGTGTAGAACAGGATCGATGCTTATCCTAAGCTTTGTTAAGTCACGACGCCACACCTCGCGACAGCAATTTGCTGGCGCCCGATGGCGACCGCACGCAAAGAATAAATCAACCGAAGCTGCCCATTAATTAGAACGACGGTCATTAGGCTGACCTTGCCGTCAGCACAGGAAGTTATTAGGATGCAGGAGAGCGCTAGGCGCTGTTTCATATTGCTGACATTTAGGTATGAGCCGTGAGGCACGCGCACGACCGCATTATCTGAGGTTCAGGGTGGTGTTTACGATATCTTGAGTGTCGTACAGTGCCATGACAACATTATGTGTGAACTTATGGTGCCTCACTATGTCTACACTTGGCGCCATAATCGGCGTTATAATGTGACTTTATTTTATGTGTATATGGTTATTTGTTAATTTATTCGCACCCTCATGATAGCTGTTTATGAGAATTCTAGTGTTTTGAGCCCGAAGAGCAGTTGCATAGCAAAGTCACTTTGATCATCGGTTTCATGTTACTATGTGACTATATTTTATGTACACTGTTATTAGTTATTACATTTGCGCCATCATAAACGTTTTCTATGAGAATTCTATAGTGTTTTGTGAGCTCAGTGCAGTGGCGTAGTCGACTAGAACTTTCTTCAGGGGGGGGGGGGGGAGTGAAAGTATAGGGAAGAGTGTTAGAGTATGTTTCGTGTATGTTTACCCTTGCGTATGTGTGTGCGTGGACATATATACACATGCATAATCCTAACTTTTTACAAATAATTGACACTCCAACCCCCCCCCCCCCCCCCACTCCTACTGTCATGCCATTGGTCAGTTGTAGGTTGTCTCCCCTAGGAATGTCATGCAATGAATGGATCTCGTGCTTACGCGGATCGCTGCTGCTTGAATGACAACCAGTCACTAGAGCTATGATGTGTGTTTAAGTACTAGTCATGCTCAATATGAGTTGTAACACGCTGGCAGTGGCTAAAGTGACCCCACGCCTGAACAATGACACCAAGAACGTTAAATTGGTTCAGAAAGCACCACAAATGGAAAGAATTATTTAGCGACTTTTTTTTTTTAAATGTAGGTGGTACTTTAAATGTTGGCATCAATTTGAGTACAGAGACCAGTGTTGCAGGTCATATTGAGCACGATCGTACATGGCTGATATTTTCAACAATTTCATTATATTTAAAAACCAGTAACCAGTCCAGCATAAAGGCTCCAACATCCCATAATCAACACATAAATAAAATATGTGGTAACGTCGCTTACTTTGTGCGCACTAACTCCAGCCTCCACAGGGAGCGAGCTTGATTCAGGACAGCACCGCCTTCGTAGACAATAATGCTGAAAGATTAGAAGAGTATGAGTTGCATTAAATTTGCTACATACCATTGCCAGTAGCTGTGCTCATCTCGTTGACATGAAAACCGTTGTCGATCTGCCTTCCATGCAACTCCTAAGTGGGGCACGTACATCCCACTTGCATTCTTCTTATTCTTCATTTCGCTTATTACTTGATAGTCTATTAATTTATTTCACCATTTCCAGCTGCTAAACTAATATTTTTTATAGTTTTCTTTGTGGTGAATCGAAAAAAAAACGGTCATGAAGCGTCTAATACACCAGCCCAGACGTTGAAATGCCTATGAGCTCACGGTAATACCACTGATTTAGTTCATACGGATACAAAACCGCAAGGCTAACAAGCCAAAGTAGCGGCACTCGAAGTAAATTGAATGTATAATAAGGGGCAGGAGATAAAAGTCCAGCAGTATTTTTTTTCTTGATAGACCTGCGCTTCCATATCTTGAAAAGAACCTTTGTAAGCATTGCAGAGTGATTCCACAGAAAAAAACAGTTCTTTGAACCGGCAGACGCAAGTGCTACAGACGCTTGACTAACTAGAAACTATCTATTATTGCATCAGTATAACACATACTATAGTATACAAACGTTGGACGCCGTCTTCTCCAGACTGCGGTAATGCTACACACTCTGCTATAACCACTCAACAATAAAAGTGTGAACAAAAGCAGCATACCTTCCAAGCAGGTGCGTTGCAACTATATACAAGAACGTGACACCTGCGTACGGGTCTCAATTTCACTTTTCATAACTTAAGGTACGGAACCGTGTTACGCAAAAGATGATCGCCTGCGGGCAGGACTTCTCGACATTCACGGCCTCAGAACCATGCACCAGTAGTCTTTGATAATCTTGTGGTTTGGGACATGCCGAAAGTATTTTTTATCGGTCTGTGCATGTAGCGGTGCTCTATTGTAGTTACTGTTCCGAAACACGATTCAAATATGGTCTGCCCGAGGGATGAAAGTTCGTTCAAATGAGTGCTTACTTCTGACCGGCCTCCTCACTCCAGTTTGGCGGGATTGTAAGGCACTCGTCTCCCCCGTGGAAAAACCTTAGCACTTCACCGCCGAACACATAACCTGTAAAATAGATAACACACGCGCGCAGCCATTTTCTGTCATTTTTTTCAGAATGAACTAAAAGTGGCTGACAACAGGAGAATTTTTTACACCATTTTTTGCTGTTCTCTACAAGTGGCTCGTTGCTTTTCCTGAAGCACTAGAAGCGCCAGAACTATAGCTGAAAGTTCTAACAATGTCGGTTTCGTGCCGCTATTGACTGAGTGTTCACGCTGGGGAGAAATCATCGGAAGAAAAGCGGGAATAGCGCATAACGTGACAATGACGTCCCAGGCTTGCGAGTGCAGCGGAGAGCCAGCGCCTACTTGCTAATCAGTGACGTGCCTGCTACGTGATCCTCGATTGCCGCTTCTACCTAAATCGATTCTCCTTCGAGTGAATATCTCGTTACGTTCAGTATGAATCATTGACATGTTCTGCTCAACTCTTTTCCTTCACTGGCACGCTGTACTCTTGCATGAGCTACTTCAATCACATAGCCACTGGTTCCTTGCCGTGAATACACCACGGTGCTGCACATTTTTCTTGTTGCTTACCGTGATTTCGCACACGCTTTCAGTTACGCGCTTAAGCTTTGGTAGGACACGCATCAACAGAAGCAGATTTTTTCCCGTACTCTTCATTTGCAAAGCTTTCCTGCACTATAAAGTTTAGTGCCAGAAATCCCGATAGAGTGACAGCCACTTGTATTCTGTGAAAATGTGGTGAATGCGTATGAAGCTTGGCGTAACTCACCAACGTTCTTTGTCCTACTGGTGCCCGTTCCAAATGGCGCCACTGACCAATGGGTGAGATGAAAGCTGGCGTTCACGATCGTGTCCTCGCCTTCTTTTGCCGTGTGCTGCACCATTTGCAAACATTGTTATTATGCAGCTATCAACGTGCTATTATATACAGCATTACCACCTCTAGCAGTTATATTGAGTTCTACGAAGGTTTTACAAGTAAATATTGTAGGGACGTCACATATCAGAAATATATTCTCTATGCATTCAGAATACACGCTTTTTGTAACAATTGTACGGTATAGGCTGCTTCTTGTTAGTTATACTACAGAAATCAGGCTGACAGCTGCATAACCAGGGACCAGTTTAGTTTTTTTATTTTTGCATTGGTAAGTAATTGTAGCAGGAAATTCACACCAATCAGTGTAGATGAGAGGGGAAGAACGGGACGAAGAAAGAGTGGGCAGAAAACACGAGCGCTGACACACAACTGTATGTAATTTTTTAAACCGGTGAAAGTATGGCTGAAAATGAAAAAAAAAGAATTAAAACCATTGAATCAGTATCATGTACCAGCTGGCCCTTCAAGACAATCTTCTGCATTTGGTTCAATTGAACAAAGAATTAAAGCATTTTTTTGGGGGGGGGGGAGGTAGTATTCACTGAACTAAAAACTGCAGTAGACAATAGAATCAAATGCCAGTTATCATCATTCAAAATATGAGTACTTCCTTTTTAACTTTCCAAATGAGCATGCTACATCATGCAACAAATTTACTGGAATTCACATTCATTGAATTCATTTTTTGTTACGCTGAAGCACAGCTCTCACATCATTAATTTGATTACATGACGTTGACTTCTCACGCTGAAACTGAATATGCCTTATTGAACACCCCAGGACATAAAACATGTGTGTGTAGTAGAGCTCTTTTGAAGAAAAAAAAAAGAAAGACGGATCAGCACGTGACGTCTTTCAAGAAGTCAATACTTCCAAACAATGTCAATGTGTTGTACCCACAATGTAGAGCAAATATTTGATGAGAACACTTTCTGTAGGAACTTCAATGACTTTCGAGATGATCCAATAAAACACCTCTGCATGACAAGATCAAACCTGAGATGGAGAACAATCTACATTAGGAAAAGTGCAAAAATGCGAAAACCTGATGCCAAACATGCATGTTCAGCGACATGCGTGCTGCGTGTTTTGATGGGCTGCTCAAAAAATATAGTGCTTATCTCCCCATAAAGCTGCATTCACACGACATATGCAATTGCGGACGCATCAGGCACGTGACAACCGACGTGATTGAGATTCCTCAGCAGCCAGCATTCACACGACAGGGTAGAATTCACGCTACAGGCGACAATTTCGGCATTGCTCCCCGATGATCCCAACAATGACTTGGGCTTCCGTCGTTTCACGAATTGGTTTGCGGGGACCGAAGTGGGAACGCAGGAACGGCTGACGTATGATGACGTAGTACGCAATCTACAGGCCCGAATCGCGATTGGGTCCGCCTTGTGAATACTGTTTAAAGGGGTCCCCGAGTAGTATTCGCAGCAGCTATAGGTAAAGTTCTGTAAAAATGGGCCCCTTATTCATCAGCGTAGACGTTCATGATTGCAGACACAGCCACTTAGCCCTCACATCTTCTGCGCTCATGTTCATGTCTCCGTTCGTACTACTAGCTTGTGTGTGTGCGAGAGAGAACATCTATTACACAGAGCAGCAAAGCACTGCAGGTGGTCTCCACTCGTACCAGAGCACGTGCCGTAGTAGATAGAGCAATCCACTGAGCCATCTAGTGGCCGCTCCGAGTACTTGCGTGGCTATGACGACCGACAAGGGACAAGCCTCGATCATGAGCTACTTCATATCTAAAAGCTGACGAACGGTTCTGTGAAGATTTTTCGCCGACGTCCCCTAATGCAGATTCTGACAACATTTTAGCTCCTAACATTATCAAAAATTTTGCGTCACTCCTTCGTTATGTGCTAAACAGCTTCGCTGGTCATCTGGTTCACAGAGTGGAGTGGCGTGTCAAATATTTACACTATTGCCCTTGAGCGTTACCTTGAACCTGAGAATGCAGAACCCGGATATAACAAAATAATTGTTGTAATGAAGTAATTAAAAATTGTCTTGCAATATATATAGTGTTAGGACTAAACCTCTAAGAAAATTTTTGACATAATGAATTTACTCTTGTGTAAGACGCCACTTTGTTATAATGAGGCATGAACGTATATAGACGCAATAATTTTGTGATGATCACAACCCACGTTTTAGTAGTACACAGTAAAATTACGTGTGAGTGCTCCCTCCTTCTTCCGGTAGATTTGAAATAAGTGTTCCCTTCTCTCTTCCCTCTATTTTCACTGTTTCATCAGCTGTTTTGGCTGCCCAACGAGGGATAATCAAACAATGAATAAAACCGTAATCATTGAAGCATGCTGTGCATTCTTTATTCTTAGCTGCTGTTCTACCACCATCTTGAATATTGACTCGTGGCCAAGCAAGCATCCCCCTCCCCTAATTTTGTAGCATTACCCATCACCACAAGGGGCAGAAGGTTCTTCCTTGGCATTTTAGGATATGTTTATTATATAGACATACACCACCGTTACCTAAAAGTAAAGAATTACGCGCACTTAAAGAGTAAAAACAACACTAGCACGACATTTTCATAGTAAGCGCACAAAAGAGATTGTCGGTGGCGAAGACGATCACAGTAGTTGTTCATATCTTTTCGAATACGAGGTACTTTTCTCACAAGTGACTTCTCCAGTGTTTTCCGAAATAATGGCTTAGGGAACAGCGATTTGGCATTTATAGGCCCCATAATGTTATACAAAACGTAAAAGTAAACATCGTCGAGAATCAAAAAAGCATGCAGTTAAGTTTACAAGGCAAGCAATGCATGATTCGCACCAAGTATCGTTCGGTGGCGACGCTGACGAGGATGAGGTCGTCCCCTACGCGGACCTTCTCTCCTTCGGACCTCTGCTTGGAGGCCGGGTGAATAGTCCACCAGCACGCCTCGCCTGTAAATGGGTGACAGTGGGGAAGGAAGAATTATTGTGATTTTCATAAAATCGCATCTATACATCACAAGGAAGGAGAGCTTTAGCTTCTGAAGCAAAGCAGGGACTTTTTCTGTGTACGGCATCACATGGGCAGGCTAACAAAATGGGACTGGCAATAAATTGCAACTGTGTTCATCTAAGAAACTTACGTGCATATATAAACAGTGAAAGCGGCCTTACCTTTGAGATGATCAAACCGAAAACTACGAGCCCACGGGAAGTCTTACCGAGAAACATTGCATCACAATACCGCGACATGATTTTGGCGGTTCCATGCATGTTTAGCAGATTTCAAATTTGATACTGTAAGAGTAACGGAAAAGAAACAAAGCGAAATCAACAAAAATGCTTGCAAAGTTTTAACGTCATACCAGCGATTCTGGTTAAACTAAAAGTAAAAAAATCTATATTTCATCGTTTTTTTTTTGTCTAGGTGGTGCGTTTTTATAGACGACAGGCGAAGTCTTTCGAGCATAACCAACAGAAAAAATATAGATAAAAACTTCTCTTAAACAAGACCAGCTTTCCCTATGAAACCAGAGTTGTAACAAGACAACACCAACAATATTTAAAGGTCCAGTGGGGTTGGTCAAAAGAACAAGAAAAGCACAAGAAATAATGCGAACAAGACTTAGAGGTACAAAAGGCTGCAATAAAGCAGGATGAGGAAAACACGACCAACTTTATTAAAAAATTAATGCACAAAACCAAGTGATATCAAAAGTAATCATGTCCTTCCAAGAAGGTTTCTTTGCTATTTTACTAGTGTTTACCTGAGGCATTCTAATGCATTTTAACTGGTCTTTAGGATATAATAAGTTTCAACGATTTCTCTTTTCATCCCATGTAGTTCCTTCTTTGAAAAACACTTGTGCGCGAAAACTCAATTTTGCACTCACATATTTTGCAATGTCCGGTCAAATGGCCTCTCGGTTTTGCTTAACCGACAGCGCCTGCAATCTGGCTCTTCCGTTTTAGCACCGACGCATTTGCCTTACATAAACTTTGCCGCGGTAGCACTCCCTAATACTTAAGAAGAGAGCAAAAAGTACTAGTAAGTCCTACTTGGTAAGCTTTAATATTGGCCCACAGTGAAATCGTCCTCTCTAGCCAATGACTACTTTTACAAAAGCTAAAACACTCTGCTCGCTGTAGAATATCTTCGCGATATTTACAAGAGCCTTGCCTGAGCCGACAGCTAGTACGCACACAGTTGGCCCCTACCAATAGATATCTGATGAAATTTGGCTTTTCACTCGCTCTGCGTCGCCACCGCTGTAATACGAAATGCATTGTTCACTGTCACTTGTCGTGCTGGGACGTGTTATCTACGCTGTGATAACATCGGGCTTCTTAACCGTAGACACAGGGTGGTACCACGCCAAATTTAAAGGTGTGCGTAGAACAAGAATGAGGGCAAGTGCCGCATTGCATTTCGGTAAACGTTAGCAATATGCAAATCAGTGCAGGCTGGCTGTCAGCCATTGTGATAAGTATGCGTTACGGCACTTCCGCTACAGATTCATCTGTTGACGATGACAGGTTTCATGCATGGTATTTTCGAACGCAATAACAGGAATAAAATGTGATCGGAGGGTGACCCGAAAATCGAATGTTGTGTACGCAAAATCGAGGTTGCCCCACCAATATCGGAAAGTTTTATAATAACAGACAGGAAATCACGTATAAATGTTTGAGACGCAAGCATGCACAAATTAGGGGCAACGGCATCGATTTGCCTTTGAAATTTTGTAGCTTTTTGGCGCATTGCGACAATAGGACGATCGGCCACTCTCTGCGCAGATGCTGCGGAAGCGCTGTCCTCGCCGTTCGTCAGCTTAAAAAACAGTCAAAGCCATATTGCGCTGTTAGAGCACTACGAGGCCATGTGAACGCCCTCAACTTTTGTGTAGTGCTATCGCTGCTTACGCGTCAGCCCACTGACTGACAATTTTTGGCCTCTTCCTCTTCTCTTTCCTCTCTGTCTCTCTCAACTTTATACTCCCCCTTCCCATTCCCCCAGCATAGGGCAGCAAACCAGGCACCTGGTTAACGTCGGTGCCTTCTCTCTTGTTCTTCTTGTGCTCCCTTCCTTCCATGCATTCACAAAGCCCTTTCATTGATTTACGCTTTGTCTATTTACAATGTGTGACAAAGGACACGCCATCGAAAATTGGCGCACGGCACGTGCGCTCTAGCAGTTCACCATAAAAGGGTGCCATTGTCCTCAGAAGGGGGAAAAGGTAGTGCCATGCGCAAAATTTCGAGCGTGCCGTGTGCACAGTTCAACCTTCGTGGTATAAAGGGCACCCTTTCTTTTCGGTTTATCTATTACCTTGCTTCAAAAAGATTGTTTAGGTGTACAAAGGCAGAAGCGATTATTTTCTTTTGCTGTAGCGCAATTCTCAAGAGTGTAAGGATCTGACCACACCCGAAAGTCGTGGTTGCAGTAACGATTCGCACGACATTGACGCAATGGGCGCGTCCACTATAATAACACAGGCAAAGGAAGATATCACTTTGTAACAAAATAAAAAGAGTGTACTGCGAGCTCTCGGACATTATAGTAAAGCGATGTGTGTGTACGTACTCGGCTACTGACCCGCAGGTTGCGAGATCGAATCCCGGCTGCAGCGGCTGCATTTTCTATTGATCCGAGAATGCTGTAGGCTTGTGTGCTCAGATTTGGGCGCACCTTGAGAAACCCCAGGTTGTAGAATTGTTCTGAGCATTTCACTACGGCATCTCTTATAATCATATGGCAGTTTTGAGACGTTAAACCCCGCATATCAATCAATGATGTGTGTGTTCAGTGCACTTTGTTTTCGCAGCACAAAGAGCGCAAAGTTTCATAGCATAAAGTTCCAGTCAACGTACGTTGCGGGATGTCACGTACCCTAAGCAGTAACGACAAGTATGACGTCACTCCATCACTCATCACTTTAATACCTTAAATACCCCCATGTAGGAGGTATTACATAAGGGGTGGGTTACAGGTAAATGTACACAGGTTTTCAAATGGAAATGTGCGTGGTGACCTTCTCTTTAAATGTTGATGGACACGTGATGGCTGGAACGTCACAAGGAAGGCCATTCCAGTCCACTGCTACACGGGGGAAAAAGAGGCAGAAAAAGTAGTAGTGCGAGCATGTGGACGGGCAATTCGAAACGCGTGGGCAGTGCGGTGAGATATGCGCGTCGGTGGGATGATGTAGGGTGCTTGATTAAGAGGGCTGTGAAAGAACGTGTGTAGCAAACAAAGGCTGGTAATGTGGCGGCGCACTGAAAGATTCGAAAGACCAGTTTCACGTTTAAGGGATGATATGCTTATGTTATATGAATATGAAGAATGTATGAACCTAGTGGCGCGGTTTTGCACAGACTAATTCATTTATCAAGTATACCTGGTGCGGGCTCCATATGGGAGCTGCATATTCTAGTTTAGTTCGGATTAAAGATTTATAGGCGATAAGTTTGATGTCAGGTGGGGCATGACGCAAATGACGCTTCAAAAAACCCAGAGTTCGGTTCGCTGATGATATGACGTTCATGATATGCGTGCGCCATGAAACATCACTGGATAAGGTGACGCCTAGGTATTTATAGGATTTAATTTGTTCAAGGGTAGAGTTAGCTATTACGTAAGAAAAATGCAAGGGATTGTGCTGGCGTTGAAAAGAAACGAGTTTGCATTTAAAGGGGTTAAGCTCCATCAACCACAGGTCGCACCATTGCTGTACACGATGAAGGTCATTTTGAAGTGCAGTTTGATCAAAGGGGTTAGTAATTTTGCGGTATAGAACACAATCGTCGGCAAACATGCGGATATGAGAAGATACATGCATGGGTAAATCGTTAATATATATTAGAAACAGAAGGGGTCCGAGGACGGAACCTTGGGGGACTCCCGATGTTACCGAGAGGGAGCTAGAATGTTTATTTCTAATATCAACAAACTGGGAATGGTTAGCAAGAAATTCATAAATCCATGTAAGAATTTTGGGGTGCAGATTCAAATGGGCAAGTCCAGATTTGGGTGCACGTTAAAGAACCCCAGGTGGTCAAAATTTCCGGAGCCCTCCACTACGGCGTCTCTCATAATCATATGATGGTTTTGGGACATTAAACCCCACATATCAATCAATCAATCAATCAATCAATCAACTGGGCAAGTTTTAGTAACAGGCGTTTGTGTGGTACCTTATCAAAAGCTTTAGCGAAGTCTAGAAAGATTGCATCAGTCAGGAAGTTACGGTCAAGATTAGCGTGCAAATCATGAGTAAATATAGCTAGTTGTGTTTCACAAGATAAAGATTTACGAAATCCATGCTGGGAAGAATGAAAGAAATTATTAGCGTCCAGAAAGTTTATTATGTGAGTGTATATGACGTGTTCCATGATTTTGCATGAGACGCTGGTTAGTGAAATGGGGCGGTAATTTAGGGGTGACTCTTTGTTACCTGATTTGTGGACCGGAATGACCTTTCCCACTTTCCAGTATTCTGGCAGCATTCCTGTTTTGAGCGACAATGAAAACAGCATCGACAAATACACTGCAATATTTGTTTAGTGTTTTTTAACAGTTTAGTGTTAATGTTGTCAACGCCAGCCGATGATGAAAGTTTAAGTCTATCGATAAGGGATGAAATTCCAGCAACAGAAACTTCCACTGGAGTCATTATCGGTAACGTCGTAATAGGTGGCGAGGGAAGTGGCGAATCGGCTTATTTTGTGAACACAGAGCAGAACGCGATGTTAAAAACGTCGGCACAATCACCGTCGCTAACTTCCTCACCATATTGGTCAGTAAGCGTTATTTCGCGCGGCGGTTTCGGGTTTATAACTTCCCAGAACTTTCTAGGGTTATTTGTTGGAATTTTAAATAAGTCAATGCGATAAAACGTCTGTTTTGCACTTCGAATTGCAGCATATTATGCGTCTTCTGCCGCATAGTACTT